GTAGACAGTCTAGAAACAAATAGAAAATAGATATGTAAAATCTGCCTGAGCGGCTAGACACTCTATTCATAGCGATGTTACCTGAACATCCTAGCTCTATCGCACATCTTACATATTCAAAGCAAAGTAAGATGTCCCAATCTGCTCCTGGGACCAGCTTTTCATGAACCCTTCCCAATCAACTGCCTTAACATCCGGATAACGGGCATTGTCCAGCTCGGGCCCAACAAAGGTCTGTCCATTGACCCAGTAGTAGTAGAAGAACCTATAAAAGTAACCCTCGGTTAGTCGAGATTGACAGGATGAAACAGGAAGTTGAAAGTGTAGACTTACAAAGACATATAGCTGTAAATGTCCTGAGGGCTCTTCGTCCGCTTATCATGCATGGTCTTGTACAGGTCCTCGAGGGACCCGCGGTTTTCCAGTGTAACAGGAGTGCCGTAGACCTTTTCATACGACTTGGCAATCTCCTGGATAGTAGCACGGCCTCCGACGACTAGAGGTAAAAACTCACTCATTAGCACTAGTTCTCAAGAGGGAATATTGGATTGACGACTAACACTTCAGCACACCCTTTGCTTCCGAATCCAAGACCACCTTTGCCGTATACTTGGCCGCATCATCGTAGGTCGTTCCCTCCATAATCTCATTACCGTCACCCCAGTACCGGAAGGTGTTGGTCTGAACATCCACAATGTTGAAGAAGGGACTGAAGATGGGCTCCATGAAGCCACCGATGAGGATATGCACTCCCGCAACCTTCGTCTTCGTATCGAGGTAGTTCTTGATGTGGATCATGGGATCCTTGGGGAACAACTCGCCCAACTTCAACTTGGTGTAATCCAACGCCCAGTCGCTGGCCACGTAGCGCGGAACATTGGCTGACTCGCAAGCATCGATGAGGAGCTTCTGGCCATCTACCATGAGCTTGTCATCGCCCAGGTAGCAGCAGACAACGACATCGCAGCCTTGGACGAAGGTGGCAATGGCGTCCTGATCAAACGCCGTACCTTCAATGATCTCCGGATTTGGGGAAGATTTCAAGGATTCGGGGAGTTTTGAAGGGTTGCGGCAGTACCCTTTGATTGTCAGGGAGTCGTCACCAACATCGAGGAGGTGGGTGAGAAGGCGGCGGGCAAATTTGCCTGTGATACCTGCAATTCCGACCTTCATCTTGAGAATTGTTGGATGTAGATAATGGGTTTAGTTGGAGAGGTGTGTGAAGAAGATAAAGAAAGTGTTTGACTATGCGGTACAGTTCAGAATGTGCGTGAGACCCTTATATGAACTACGCATGGTGTTGGTTTGTAAAGCTGGAGCCACCCGGCCACTATATCAACTCCGAGCTGATTCATGTGTTGCGAGCATGGATTACCAAACTCAATTCGCAAAGTTGGGTGGAACCGATACCTTAGTACCCACATGAAATGTTCTGCTCCAACAAGGTTCAAGTGGACTATGAGATTAACGTTCAAATTGGGGTTGTTAATCATCTCGGGCCTGAAATAAACCCCGAGATGGCTGTGGTAACGTAAGTATACCGGACGTTAATAATACGGGTAATTTGGATGAGGCCGAAACTGTATCTTGCCCATAAACTAAATCTGCATCTGCGACACAAAATATTATAAAAGGGGTTTATGGGTGGATGAACCAATTTTCCCTTAATAAAATCAATTCATCTTTCCTGTCACCATGACTGCTGTTCTCATTACTGGTGCAACTGGTAAACAAGGAGGTGCTCTCATCAGGAATCTCCTTCTTCGGAAGGCTCCTTTGGAGATCATCGCCGTCACCAGGAACACCTCTTCCGCATCTGCCCAGAAGCTGGCTAGTTTGTCCGCAGATATCAAGTTGGTGGAGGGTGACCTTGATAACCCGGGTGCCATTTTCCGCAATGCTCAACGCTTAACGACCTCGCCCATCTGGGGAGTATATAGTGTGCAGGTAGGTCAATGGGCCTGTCTTTGGTCTACATAGATCGCTTTTATTGACAACGTCTCTCTAGGCGGCAATTGGCAACAAGGCAGAAGAAACGCAAGGAAAAGCGTTGATCGACGAGTCTATCCGACAAAAGGTCAAGTTCTTCGTCTACAGTTCCGTTGACCGCGGCGGCGAGGAGCACTCGTTCCAAAATCCCACCAAGATACCCCATTTCATCAAGAAACATAATATTGAACACCATCTGGTCAACCGCAGCAAAGATGGCAACATGGACTGGGTGATCCTGCGCCCAGCCGCCTTCTTCGAAAACCTGACTCCGGATTTCTTCGGCAAGGTTTTCACCACATGCTTCAAGATGGCATTGGCTGGAAAGCCGCTGCAGCTTGTCGCCACAAGCGACATTGGATACTTCGGTGCTGAGGCTTTCCTCAACCCGGACAAGTACAAGGGGAGGGCCATTTCCCTTGCCGGTGATGAACTCACCTTTGAAGGTATGGGGTTGATCTTTGAACAGAAGACTGGACAGCCACTGCCGATGACATTCCGCCCGATATGCTCGTTATTTATGGCCATGATGAAGGATATGGGATACATGTTCCAGTGGTTTCGAAACGAAGGATATAGGGCTGATATTCCGAGGTTGAGGGAGATCCACCCGGAAATGATGGACTTTGCAACCTGGTTGAAGAAGGAGAGTGGATTCAAGAAATAGCCGGATCTGGAAGGCACATGTGATGTATAGTATCGATAGTGTATAATAATCTACCTAGCAGTATAAACCGAATAAAGAGACTTGTGAAATAGCAGCTATCGGAATTGTCTTATGCTTACGCTGGTTTAATAATCGGAAAAGAGGTGATTAGTACACATCGATTTCTGGAATAGTATCTATGTCGCTTATCGTACATCTACCGACCGGCCTTAGCTCTTGGTATGGTATTCCCCATATCAAAGCTCATCATGTCTAGTCTTTGCACTCTCGCGCATCGACAGCAGATTCTCCCTCCGTGTCCACGCCAACCTCGCCGCACCCTCCGCCACCATAGTGATATGCTTTAACGAACCGACAATAGGAACGCCATGTCCGATAGCCTCCTGCACAGCACGGTGCACAAGATCTCCATCGAAGAAATCGGTCAAGACGATCGCGTAGTCCACTCTCTCTTGTTTTGTTACTTTTCTCGTTTCGTGTGGGTCTGTAGGAAGTCAACACTGATACACACACGGGGCTAAGTGGTCCATGAGACATACCTGCCATAGCTTGCAAATAAACTTGAATATTATTTGCCAAAGTTTCCATGTAGTTATTCTCAACTGCCATGATCTGGCTACGCTTGAGAACCAGGTCGGGGATGTTCCCATGCGCCCACCAGGAATCTAGATTTAGCGGAAGTTCGTCGAGCGTCTCCCCATCTTCGAAATCTCTGTATCCACCGAGCTGATCCTCCAGCACTGGCTCGAGCCCCAGCAACAGCTCCACTGCCGGATCGTACCCCTTTAACATCAACCTTGTCTTCAGCACCGCCTGTATCAGAAATCCATTATCACGACCCTGAACAACCAGAGTCTTCAACTGAGCATCACCGTCAACAAGCTCCTTCACAAGGCGGTACTGAATCCTATCCCCACTCCACGGATCTAAAGGAAGATATGGATACACTGACTGGCCCTTGCGGCGGCGCTGTGGCGACCCGTCGTACAACTGAACACCACAATGGGTTTCTCCCTGGTGAACAACCAAGACACGATCATACTGGTCGATCGCCGGATTGAGGTAACGAGTGCAGAAGGAGCGTGGGGGCACGGCACCCTCGAGGATGGTGATGCCCACCTGCTGCCCGGCTCGAATAACAGTCTCTCTCAGCGTGTCGTTGAAGAAGTCGGGCACGCCGACCATGGCCCAGGTCATGTTGACGCCGTGAGCTGCAAGAGAAGTAGCCTTGAGCTCGGCGAGTACTTCTGTGAGTGTTTCCGTGACGTCGGATAGAGACAGCTTCTCCTTGATCAGGCCGCGGGAGACGAGGAAGGACTTGATCTTTCGCTGGACCGAGACGGGGATGATCCCGTAGACAGTGTCGGATATCGAGCGGATCGAGTCTTGAGTCCAGACGACGTATGCGTTGCTGCTGATGGAGACTCTAGCATCGATCACTTCGAACAAGCTCCACATGACGCTGGTCAGGAGCGCCAGCGGGGTCGACCTAGATCCGCGTCTCGGCTTCCCAAGCCCGGATCGCTGAAAATGGTCCATGGACAGTTCTTCGATTTGCCGCTGGTACTCCTTGTGATTGACTACCCCCAATAGGGTGAAATTGTTTAGAGAATTTGCGTAGGAGGCAAAGACAAAACGATGGCCGAGGTCGATGCCGATGGGATCGTTGGGAGGAGCATTGTCGCAGGTCTCTTCTGCCACAGCCGCCGTGGAAACGCACCACCACAACAGGGCCAGAAGGATTTGCGAGAGATTCATATTACGGATGGAAAATTTTTAATATTTTTTTTCTTCATGTTATTTTGCTCTTTGCGGGTGGCGGGTGGTTAGCACCATTTATAGGGAAGACGGTGGCCAGGCAGAATCGGAGCTAAAGACCCTCGTGCCTGAACCAAGTGGATCCCATCCATCAGGGTCTGCACCCAAACAAGACTAGCTCGTCTTGGTTGTCAGACAAATGTATCTTATATCAAGACAATGCTGCTGGACATACTGCATATTTACATATACCATCAATTCTTTCTCGAGGTCATAATGAGCTCAAGGTCCTCCATTTCTGTTCAACACTGATTCCACCTGGGAGATGAGCAAGCCAGATTGAAACTGAGAAATACCTGTCTACCAGCGTACGTACAACTCTCGGAATATAGCAAAGAGGGTCTCGAAGTTCACTACTCCGACCCTTGATCCCTCATCTGTACCCCGGATTGCTCGCATTGTCCTCTTTCGTTCGAAGCTTCTCTGCTTGCATACGATGTTCTGCACAGAGAAGTGAGCGTTGACTGAGATCAGGTTCCGGCAAAAGACATGCAAGCGGCACCGAGCGATGACCAGAATCCTCGTACTACGGTTCGTGCATCTCACAGTCGGACTCGCAATCGATTTCACATCCTTTCAGATGCCGGCGGAGACTGAGCAGCCCGCGGGCATCCAAGTAGTCCGGCCAGCTCGCGTACCAGTCCAGAAACTCAGGGATCGAGTCAAAGCGCGGCTTCCGTCCATAGAGCACCTGTGGCTGCATGATGCCCTCCTCCTCCATAAAGACCACACGCCAACCCCACTCCCGGATATTGGGGGCGTCCTGGACGCCTTCATCCTGGTAATGGATCCCCTCCATATCCTCATCTGGACTCTTCCGGCAGTAGAGATACGCGCTGTACCATTTAGGATACTCCCCGACATAGCCGGTGCCCATGACCACGCCCGCCCGGACATCCAGATCCACATCTGGGGAGGCCGGAATCTGGACCTTGTTGATCAAGTCCGTGTACTCCCCCTCCAGCCGCTCCTGCAGCCACGCACATTCCTGGCGTATACGTGCATGGTAGTGGTCCCGCTCCTCCTGTGTGTCCAGACAGGGGAGGGTGCCATATCGCGTCTGTACGGACAGCCCTGCCTCCAAGGGGGCGATGCCCGAGTGGCGAAAGTCCGGGTCTTCCACCTCGTGGGCATACGCCAAAAGCCGGCCCAGCTCCTCACAGCGCGGGATCGGCTCCGAGGGTATATCCTCGCCCTCGGCGGCCGCCCACTCCTCCGCTTGCCGTTGGAATACTTCCTGCAGCGTGTCGAGGAAGATCTGGCGGGCTTCCGGCGTGCAGAGCAGCGGCGGGTGGATCCCGTCCAGGGCGAACAGGGGGTGTGTGTCCTCGGCCAGCAGCGCGGGAACTGCTGCCAACTCCCGCGTCTGCCGGAACCGGTTGCTTATGTGGCGTGCGTCGGGGTTGTTCTCACTGGCTGGTTCGTCTTGGTCTAAGTCTCCGAAATGGCGCCACCTCTGAATCATACGAATTTTCTCTTTCTCGGTTGCGAGTCCGCGGGCGTCGATCTCATCTATGCGGTCCTGGATGAACTGTCGGTTGGCGGCCGCCATGCGCGTGCGAAACCGATCGACGGCCTCTCGCATGGTCTCGTCCGCGTCGTGGGACGGTAGGTTGGTGCTGATCGGAGCGTTCGTTGACATACTGAGTCACAGCAGCTTGTGAAGGAGGTGGGTAGTGATCAGAAAGAGAGAAAGAGACTCTGGAGTGTGGAATTCCTATATAAGGCTGGCCGTATTTAGGCTTCCAGCTGCAGCCTAGACTGAGAAAACTGTAGTATCCGCTACCGCCCCACTTTCTACTTTCACTGAAATTATATTGAGACATTTGGGTCACCCCGTCTGCTCTGTAGTCTGGAATATGTCCGATACGTTCGCCATCAGAGTGTCCTCCAAGGTGGACCACCCAGGCTTTCCCATTACCCTCAGTAAATCCTGCGCACGGGCATCCGGCCCGATGTCATAATGAACCATCTTGTTCGCACCTGGCAGTTCGCTTGAAAATTCACGATCGGGGAAAGCTTTCTGATATATGGATACGACTTCGTGCCATGTAAAGGGGTTCCCAAAAGCGAAGAGACGCTCATTCTTCACTTCCGGGTGGGTTAGACCCGCCACATGGAGAAGTGCAACATCCTCCACATCAACGCAGTAGGCGCCTGTGAATCTATGTCAGATGTATTACTCAAAACCTGGAGTGTAGAGCTGAATTACCTGTAGGTATGATGTGCTGCAGGAATTGCCAGACCTGATCAAACTGATTACGAAAGATAGCTGCGGGCCAGCCAGATGATGAGGCATGGCCTTGAGACTTAGCATCGATGGAGGCCCCGAAGCATACAGAGGGCAGGACTGAATGACAAAAGTCAGCTAATTGTCAAAACCCATACAAATAGTGCGTTTGCCTTACCCGTATTTATAACGAAACCCGGGCAATTCTCTGCTGCCCACTTCCATATCTCCTGCTCACCCAGAGTCTTGCTGGCGGCGTATATGTCGAAACCCTTTTTCGGACTCAAGGCGTTTGTCTGGCTTCTGCGGACAGCCTCTTCATTCCACGTATCCGCAGATATAGATATGCTTGGCCCTGCTTCATGCTCCGAGAAGGATGAGAAGGTTGCTGCCTCGGATGAGGAAGTGTATACGATTCGCTTTATTTTGTCTTCTCTGGCTGCGCTAATAAGGAGGCTTCGATTCGTACTGATAACACCCGTGATTAAGTCCGGTGTGTGGCCCAGGATGGTTGCGACGTGGGCAACGCCAGACATCCCTGTCGTTGTCGATTAGTCTTGTGGAGCGAAGCTGCCGAGCTGTTATGCCCGATTCACAACTGTGGAAAGACTTACCTTTGACCGCTTGGTCGAAGGCACCAGGCGCAGTCATGTCCTCAACCCTGACTAGCTCAAATCGGTCGGCACCATATTTCTCATGGAACAAGTGTTCAATCCATCGGCTCTTGGATGGGTCCCGTACGGTTCCACGGACTCTGTAGCCCTGCTGTAGAAGTTGATCCGCCGTGTGAGAGGCCACATAGCCGTTGACACCAGTGACCAGAACCCAAGAGTCTTTCGGAATTCCAGTATTGGTGGAAGCGGGCGCCATGTTGTTTCAATGGTAACTCATTCACGGCGGAGGTGGAAGTGAAAGCGACCAGCATACCCTTGTTTATATACTGGATCTTTACCTGGTTTACCCGATTGAACTTGTACATGATGGCATTATTAATATGACATCTATTTCGGCCCGAAGGTTTAGATGATAAATGGTTTTGCATGATTGACTAACGGTGCCACTTTCGGGCTTCATTTCAATGCCGAACGGCAAAGGCATATATGCTTACATAATATCATGTCTTCGTCTGAGATTAAGTGGGCTTTCTAGTTCTATCTTTGACTTGGTCACGCCAATGCCTGCTAGCATACTGACGTGATGAACACGGCCTTGACTACACGCAGCTGCCGGCGTTGCAGCCAGAAGAAGATACGATGTGACAAAGCCCAGCCTTGCGCGAGTTGCATCAAGTCGGCCTCGGAGTGCGTCTTCCCAGGCCCCGATCGAGGCCCACGACGCAAAAAACGGCCACTGAAGGCACAATTGGTTTCGCGCCTGAAGTCCGTAGAGAAGGAGGTGCAGACTCTGACCGAAAAGCTGGAGACCGTGAATCACAACTCAAGGCGTCACCCCCAGCCAGTAGAGAACAGCAGCGCTGTGAAAGGCGAGCGCGGGAAGTTGTTTGGGGACAGAGGATCCTCCCAGTATATCAACCACGAGGTGCTTGTTGATTTAGAAACACAGGTTGGTAGGGTCTGCAAATGTGGCACTTGCACTACTGATAGAGGGCCCCTTGGCGGGTCGTACCAGGCGATCCAAGACAGTCAGCACTGCAAGCATCGCCTTGGGAAGGCGAAGGATGAGTCTGGGACGCAAGAGGTGGCATCAATAGGCAGGGAGCGTAAAATGGTAACCGGCAATGGATTCGTATTCCAGTATTCGTCGATGGCAGTTTCCCTATCCGACTTTTACCCCAGCAGCGTCCAGCACTCTACCTTATGGGACTTGTTCGAAGAGAATGTTGCCCCGTTGACCATGATATTCCATAAGCCATCGCTTGCTAAGACCTTGAACGGTGCAGCTGCAACGACTATTCCCGACGACAGGGTCTCCGAGGCCCTGAGGTTTGCCGTGTACTTTGCTGCTATCACCAGCATGGACCCAGAGCGGTGCAAACATGTATTTGACCAGGAACGTGGGAGTCTGCAACAACACTATCGATTCGCTACGGAGCAAGCATTAGCGCGTGCCAACTTTCTTCAGTCGCACAGCCTGACCGTGCTTCAAGCCACAATCCTCTACTTAACTTGTCTACGTGGGGAAGACGATGCCGCCTTCGTCTGGGCTATGACAGCGGCTGTACATCGCATAGCACAGGGGCTAGGGTTACATCGCGACGGTACATACCTTGGACTGAACCCGTTTGAAACAGAAGTACGACGCCGGCTATGGTGGGCATTATACTTATTAGACTGCCAGTCTTCTGAGTTTCGTGCCGTTGGTACGCAAATCAAAGAGGGAACATACGACACCAAGTTACCCCTGAATATTCATGACTCGGATCTATCGCCAGAGTCAATATCATTTCCCGACGAAAGACCCGGCTTCACTGGTATTACATTCTGTTTGATACGGTGTGAAATGACGGTGCTCAATCGGCAACTTCACTCAGATCTGCGTAGTAGCAGCGGCGGCCACGTCGAAGAGAGTTCACTGAACCGGGTAACAAGGCTTCATGGACTGAAGCAGATCCATAGTAGATTGCGCAGACGATACCTAGACTACTGTGACGTCTCAATTCCGTTGCAGTGGGTAACAGCCACAGTCATCCGCCTGGCTCTTGCCCGATCTTGGTTGATTGCCCATCTCCCCCGACGGTATGTCCGCGGCAGAGCAGATATCGTCGACCGCACCCTCGGATGTGAGTTTACTTAAACGGGAACGACTCTTTGTGACGGCTATTGAAGTACTAGAGTTTGCGTATTTACTCGAGACCGACCCTCGCACCAAGCAGTGGTCATGGCTCTTTGAGGGATACCCGCAATGGCATGCTGCCGTTTTTGTCCTGAGGCAGATTGGCGTTGGACCACAAACAATGCTGACTGACCGAGCCTGGGCTGTAGCATATAAAGTTGTCACACGTTGGAGAAACAACGACTTCCAAAAGGATGGGGTGACCTCAGCCTTAGTGTCTCGGCTCATGGCGCAAGCTGCAGTCGCACAGGGATGCATCTGGGACGGGGGGGAGATCAAAGACGAGCCACGATCACCGACTGATGAGTTGTATCACAGGAAGAATGAGGAAGTGTATTGAGTGTTCAACTGATAGAAAACTGGTATCGAGGAGATATGAATCTTTATTGTCTGGCTTTGTGTCCCGGAACAGACCAAACCTGAGGGCACCTGTCCGGCAACTGATCTTGTCATGGTATGTTCTACGCGAATACAAAGAAAAATATGGTAAAGCAATGGGAATCAGCCGTTGCCCATGTACGGCCGGCAGATTCTCTAATTCCAGGCGAGTTTGAGTGAGGAGAATGGTTGGCTTCCTGTAGATGTCTTGGAAAACACACAATTCTAGCGATATGTGACTCGCTATGAACACCAGCCATTTCGAATCATCAATTAAGCCAGGTGAGAGACACGAGAGAGGGTTACTACTTCCTCGAAAACATGTATTCAGCCCTCCGGTGACAATTTCAGATGTTTTCATTATACACACGATCGAATGCCCTAGCTCAGGCATCAATGTTATTCCTGATAATATGTACACATATATACACAGTTATCCTCGCTCTCTTGATCGTTCCATTCCGGCAACCCGTTTACTGCACCACAAACTGGGTGGAATGATCTTTGTACAGCACACTGGAGTCCAGAGTCTCTCCCGTAGTAGAGCGGATAAAGTCAACCTGCAAAGCCGTTGAGTTCAGAAAGCGCAAGGTGCTGTAGCTGTAGTCATCGGCGTAGGCAAAAGCCGTGTACGAAGGCTCCGTACCCACAGAGCTCAGGCCCTCAATGTTGCCGGCACCGCCCGCGACAATGTACATGGGCGCCTTGGGGTTGTTCAGACCATTCGGATCGGCAGTATCATTGACCGCGGGCTGGAAGCGCTGGGAGTTGTGGACGTGGCCGAAGACCCCCAAGTCGACACCATACTTGTAGAAGATGTTCTCAAACGCCTCCTGGCAGACATCACAGGCGTTGCCGACACCCGTAGTGTACCAGGGGCGATGACCGGCCACCACTACCCAGGGAGTGACCGTGCGGTCGACGCTGGCCAAGTCGGCTTCGAGAAACTCAAGCTGCTCGTTCTTGAAGCCGAACGGGCCCGTGTCGAGATCTGCCGAGCCGTCAGTACCGTCGGGCGCATCCTTGAAGTCAGTCTCAGTATCGATCATGGTGACGTGGACCATGCCGTACTCGAAAGAGTACCAGAAGGGCGGCACGGCAAGACTGCGCGCCTTCTCAGCGAGTGCCTTGGCGGTGGTGTTAGTAGATTGAGAAGCGAAAGCACTGGGAACGGTGGCATCGAAGCGGTGCAGAAAATCCGTGAAGTTGTTCTGGCCCTCCGGACACAGTTTATTCAGGTAGGGAATCTCGCTGCAGTCGGCCTCGTGGTTGCCTGGTCCCGGCATGTACAGACGGTTACCCGAGATGGGAGCCAGCTGGTCGTAGAAGCGCTCCAGGATCGACTGATAGGCATCAGAGCCGTCCAACCAGTTACCAACGTCCTCATACCAATCATCAGCGTAGGCAAAATCACCCGGGTGAATGACCAGCTCGTAGTCGTCGATGGTATCGGCCAGGCGGCCAATGGTGGTGTGATTCAGGTCAGGCTCGACCTTGGGGATGTCGGACTTCTTCGCCTTACGCGAGGACAGCGTGTAGCCGTCAGTACCGTAGACACCCAAGTCAATGACGACGTCCATGCTGAAGGGAGTCGTGTCGCCGGGGGTGCGCGGGCTGAGGAATTGTCCCACGGTAGAGTTGTCAGACACAATCTTGTAGTAATAGGTGGTGGCCGGAGTGAGGTCGGTGAGGTAGGCGACGTTGGACCAAGTTCTCGAGGTCGAGTAAGTCGTCGACTTGGTCGTGCAGGCCTTGGAATCCAGGTTGCTGCTTGAGGTGCCATACTCGACGCAGCTCTGGTTCAGCTGCTCATAAGTGTTCCATGCGACGGAGACAGCTGAATGATTCGTCCGGGAGGTCAGCGGTGGCTCTTGTATCATGAAAATGGAGAGCAGGGCTCCTCACCGTTGGATCCATAAATTGCCAATCTCTGTTGGTAAGGGGTGGTCTTGTCTGCGGGGATGGTGGGATAATCGACGGCTAGGGCACCCGCCGCGAGGACGGGCAGCACTTTGGTCAAGGCAAGGAGCTTGGACATGTTGGCGCGTGATCAGGGCAGACACCAAATTATTTGACACCCATGGAAGACGTTCCTGATGAAGCAGCGAGCGGCCGCTGAGATACTTATGCAATTCCGGTGAGTGGACGCATGACCAAAAATGCGTCTTAGAAGTAACACGTGGGCGGGGATAGGACTGATGCGGAGCAGTGAATGAAGGCTTGCATCGTATTCAGGGGAGCTTGTCGGACGACGCTACAGAATAGGGTTATTGTGGCAGGCAACGTGCGCCGGTTCACGCCTCTGCTTGGAAATTGGACGAAGGCGAGAGGGGCCCTGCCCAGCTCCACATCAATTAATTTCATTTCTGCACACTTGACAGGTGACGAAAAGGAAGAGCGAGTGAGAAGCGTGGATGAAGGCATTTGTGCTGCACGTGGGATCGGCGACGGCTGTCACTGCTTCGGAAGGACCGGCCATCATGGGAGAGATGAACCGAGGCTATTCCCGTCTGTCGATCACTCCGGTCGGGGATCCGTCGGTGATGGATGGACTGACATTACTCTTTGGGTCTGGTTCATTTCGGTTACAGATGGAAGTTATGCAACATACTGTTAATGGTGGGTTACATTATGTCGCTACTAGTTAACCACGACTGACATGCTGCATGCGAGGTAGTATTAACCCTCACCCTCACTAAGGTCTTCCTACAGCAGAAGGCATCCTTGACCATCCGCCCCCTTAATTTCGGTTTGTCATATAATTATATCCCCGGTCAAACATGAGCTTGGCCTCGCGCGTGTGCTCATCCAAATCCTCCATGGGAAGTCGCAGCAGGTCGTTATCTAGCCCCTGACGCTGCTCGTAATTGCCATCGCCGTTAGGGAAGAAGACCCGCGAGTACATGGCCAGCACTAATCCCGCATGGTCGCCCTGCTTCACCGACTCCAATCCGCGCTCATATCGACTTTGGGAGGGTTCCTGTTCGATCGTCCAACTGTCTGCCGTATCGCCTGTCACTCGGAGCCAACTTGCCAGCATGTCTCGCTGAGTGATCAGGAAATCGGATATGTACATCGGCTTGTTCCGCCACCGACTCATTGTCAGCTGGTCATCTTGTTCGTTTTCTGGGAGCACAGGAAGGCTCAGAAGGGTAGCTACGGCACGGCCACACTGGGTCAGGGTGCTGACATTGACCTTGGTGTTGCCGTCGTCGTTCAGGATGAGCTTCTTGGCAGAAAGATCGAAGCCGAATGCACTCGGCCCCAGTACCAGGCTGTGCTCATACCAGAACCCACAGATCAGTGCGGTCCACGCCATGCCCTTGGCCTCGATGCCGGCCACGAGGTCGCGAAACCCTCCCCAGTTGAGACCGCTGTCGGCTAACGGCGGGTGCGTGACATCACAGCCCCAGACATTAGGCATCACATGCCGGATCCCAGCTTGAGAGGCAGCTTGCAGCAGCTTTGACTGGGTATCGCGAGGGGTCCGCACTGAGAGACTGATGATCAAGCAGTCCTGGCCCTGAAGGGCGCGCACCAGGCTGGCCTCATCGTCGTAGTCCACAATAATGGACTGGACGCCGGCGGGCACCTGGCTCGTACTACCGATGCGGGTCAGAGCTGTCACGCTATGCTGTCCAGTCCGAAGCAGTTCCTCGGTGATGGGCTTTCCGACGGTTCCCCCGGCCTGGCAATTGGACCTACGGTTAGCGATGTGGATAGTACAGTTTGGCATAATGCACTTACTCCGACGATAGCAATGCGTTGAATGCGGTTGCTGAACCCAGCGGGTTGGTCCTTGGCGTATTGGTCGGTCATGATGAGGAATACAGATGAATTTCTGTTCACAAAGAGGCTGTTGAGTTGATTCTGCTTCTGCTGCTATTGTGGCAGCAAGTGGGCGATTATATATTGTCGAAGGATTCCCCGTCATACTAGTGACCGGGGATTAGAGGCATTATCTCCGCCATGGCCTCGGCGTCAATAGTATGGTCGCCCGGAGTTAGATGAATCAGCAACCTTCTCGTCCATGCAGTGCTTAACAAGCAAAACAGCAGCCAAGGAATTTGTGGGCAGCCCTGGGGCGCGGAAAGGAGGAGATACGGAGTCCGATACCCCCGATCTGCCCGACATGGAGCGAATCTCACCTCATCGATAGGGCTTGCTTACTTGACGAAGGAGTGAAGGAGTGAAATCCTTCTGATTAGCGATGACTATTTGACAGCATAATTAGTGATCCCTGATGATGTGTGATAAGCATATTCATATTATTAAGTTGAGTATGCCACTACACAACGCTCCTGCTGTCCCTGTTCATGTCCCAGCACTGTTACCATGAGTTATCTCGTGGAGGTCTCCACCCAAGCTTTAAAATCACGGTTGAATGATTCAAACCCTTGGCGGGTATTATCTCTCCACCCCGCAGCATTGGCCAGCATGCCCTGACCCATGAGAAAGCTGAGCAGTCCGGTGAATCGCTCTTCGTGAACGAGACGTGTTCGGCTCGCTTGGCCAGGCTGGTCTGTCGGAGCGCATTCAAAGCTGAAGCGATGCTCGCCTGTAAAAATTCCGGGGATCGAGCCCACCCAGCTGAAGAGGTCTGGGCTATTGGCTCGAACGGTGGGGGTGAATTGCGACTTGCCGTAGTTGACAGTACATTTCAATTGGTCCCCAGTTTGAAGGTGCTCGGGAAGCTTGTCATTGACCGGGATGATGTGCTGTATAAAGCCGGACGGTGAATAGGTGGGCAAAGCTGCGAAATCCAGGAACTGTTGCGCGGACGTGGTCAGTTTGCTAGGTACACTTTGGGATTGCAGTAATGGGACGCACCTTGTCCCGCACTACCTCGGGAGCGGCTGCAATCTCCACGCTGGTTGTGATGGTATGCATTGGATATGTAGCTTTTTCTTTTCCGAAAATAGCTCGCTATATTCTGGCAATGGTGAGCACAACTTCAGGTATCGTATCGGCCTGGCCTTTATAGGACGACTCGAGCGGGCGCACGGAATGCCGTGTCCGAAACCCTCATCGTTGCAGATCCATTGCGGCTTCGATGTGATAGCTAGTTTGGCTCAAATCCAACAACAAGATAAAAAGGAAATGAAAGAACAGAAGCGGAGGTTTGGAATATAACTAGTCCGTTCTAGCTGTCAAGAAGACGACTCTGAATGCTCTATCTTGACATGGCGTGGCTAAGAAAAGATGATCGAACCTCCGGGATTGTTTGGCCATCCATGTCATTACGCTTTCCTGCCTTGAATACTTGTTCACCAAACGACTCCCCAGTCTCTAAAAACCCATAAAGGAAGGATCACTGTATTTGGCAGCATAATCCGAGCATTCTTAGACATATATCTTCATGTCTAGGGGCACAGGGTGGATTTCCGACCGTCGACCGTTCTCTCTCTCCTGCTCTCCGCTCGGGATATGATTTCCGGGCAGAAGGGTTTTCGTGTTTGTCCATCCCTTCATTAGAGTCATTCTCGCTTTAACTGTGAGTTGCCATTGCGAGTATTCTTTCTTATGTTCCGACTATGCCTGCCACATCCAGAAGTCAGCGGTCCCTCCGGAAGCATGTTACCACGGCCTGCATCCCCTGTCGTGAAGGGAAAGTCAAGGTAATAAAATCCATCCCCGTCGCCCAACCACCATCATGACCCATACTCAATTGCGGTAGTGTGGCGGAGGTTCCCCAACCTGTAGAAACTGCGCCATTCGAGGCAAAACCTGTCGCTACCGACAAAGCGATGACAAACGGAAAGTCCCCGTGCGACCGGCCGTGGCCGTGCTGGCACGCCGGGTGGACAGCCTCGTCCACTATATCAAAGAGCGTGGCCTGCCAGTTCCGCCCATCGACGAGGAGGACCATCGTATCTTGAAAAATGTTCTGGATGCTTTGGAGCTGGGATGCGAAGACCTTCTCGCGTTTCCAAACCACACCAGCCCCCGGAGAGGGCAAAATAATAGTGTCAATGTTAACATCGGGCCCACTACGCCCGCGTCCATCAACAGCGGCGCTCCTCCCACTCAGATGGACGAGACCCATAGCGTAGGGCCATCCCACGAACCGACTGTTCCTCTGGATGCTCTTGATCCCTTGTGCGACAATGAACGGACCATGTGGAAGGGCTCCACTATGCAGGGAGGACCGAAGGAGGACGAAGTGGAAGAAGATGGGGACAGTGACGACGAAGTCACAGACCAGCTCTCCTGTCGACTAGGGAGATTGCAAGTTACCCACGATGGTCAACTTCGATACTTTGGTTCCACATCCAATTTAACGCTCCTGGATGCACTCGTTGATGTCACTCCGCCTATCGCCATTCCTCGGGATGCGCCCGAGTTGCTAGACAATGCCAAGCTTAATCAGAACATCGACGAAGCATTCGAAAAGCACCTCATTGAGCTCTTCTTTGCTTGGCAGGATCCCAGCCTGCATGTAATTGATGCTGAGAGCTTCTGGCGGTCTCGAACACAAAGCCGTGAGGAAGGGCTTGTCACGCCATATTATTCCCGAGCCCTGTCGGACGCCATGTGTGCCCTGGGAGCCGCCTATGAGCCCAAATATCATCCCGACTTTGTCACCTTTCCCCGTTCACTGGCGGAATACTTTGGCGACCGGGCCAAGCTGCTAGTAGAACTTGAACTGGACAACCCGTCAATTGCAACTATACAGGCTCTGGTTATTCTCAGTAATCATGAGGCATCCTGTACCAGGGATACTCGAGGATGGCTATACAGTGGTAAGTCTTCCCCTTTCCCAGTAAATGGGATGCACTGGGGGCTAACGAAGAAGGGATGGCCATGCGTCTCACACTGGATTTGGGGCTTCACCTGGAGATGGGCCCGTATGTGGAAAAGGGAATCATTCCCTATCAAGACGCCGAGGTGCGCCGCATGGTATTCTGGGGGGTCTATTTGAACGAGCAGTAAGTGTCCATGCCCTCTTCTCCTGGGATAACCTGCTTACTATCCAGGTTCTGGGGATTTTATCTGGGCCGTTCCGCCCAATGCCGGATGGACGCCGTCACGGTGCGGGAGCCCATGTCTCCGAGCCCGTTTCCTACCTCGACCTGGAAGCCATATCCCGATCAACTCGGGAGTGATTTTCCTCCAATTCCGTTTAACGCACTGTGCCAGGAATGGGTCTCACTCTATGAAATCATGCTCCCGCTCACCGACGTCTTGTAAGACACCGCCTCCAGTAAAGAAATGTTCTTGGCGCTAACGGTTACTTCCAAAGATATGGCTGTTCAAAGATCTCTACTCACGCCCTGCAGGAGCTGGCTTCGACAACCGTTGAGAAGTTGCGAATGTGGCAGGTTAACCTCCCAAAAGAGCTTAAGGTCGATGAAGGGACTCATACTGGTTTCCGATCGCCATTGCCCCATGTTCTCACCCTCCAGTAAGTCCTGCCAAGATCTTTTGTTCATTTTCGGTCTCAATTCTGACAGCAATTTAGTATGCAGTACTACCAGTTCATGATCCATTGCCACAAGCCCTACATCTCGCGACGCCATATACAGCCCCAGCCTCCTCAAGGTCCGGGCTCAGGCCATGCTCGAAGAATGTGCATCGAATCTTCAGTGGCCATCGTTCAACTTCTCGGCCTCTATGAGCAGGCCTACGGCTTTGACAAGAGCAGTATCCAGATGGTTTCATTTGTATTTTCAGCTGCACTAATATTGATCTTCAACACTGTTCCCGCTAGAACCACGTCTCGAGATCAACTCCTGGTGAACCATCTCAATACTTGCTTTCGGGCCCTTGACCACATGGCTAGCTGCTTCGAGAATGCCCGACGCACCAGCGTTTTCCTGAGCACTTTGCGCCAACAATGGCAGATACGCCGGCAGAAACGCCGAGCTCTCGGGGGCAAGTTAAACTTTACGTATGGCCGTGCGCAGGGCCTTTCGGAATCATCGGGGTGGAACCGGGAAGATACTGAAGGGCCCCCAAACATGCCGTGTAAGCCTGTGCTCACAGAGGGTTCTTCTACGGGACTAGATACTGAGCTTAGTGATCTCGTGCCATACTACTCTGTGATTACTGATGCACCCACATCCACAGTCGACTTCATGGCACCCAATCTTTGTAACATCCTGCTCAGTGAAGGGATCCCTCGCGCCTTTGTTTGAGTTGGGGAATATCGCATGGCATCTGACCTGTTTGGTATATGCTCATCAGTTTCTACGAAAGTCTCACCATCTTGCAGAGGATGCACTATGAAAGCATCTCCTAGCATCATGCTTCCAATCTCATGTTATTGAGATAGGAAAACTTTATTGCGATTGTAGGCGCTCGAACGACACAGCTGGAAGAAATGATTCTATGCCAAGGCACCCTTATCTTCTAAGTTGCAATCGTTTTGAGAATGATTTGCAAGGGTTGTACATAATAGGTGTCCGACAGAAGTATCCGTCACGAACGCGTCAATCTGATGGTAGGGGTACCTGTTCTACGACTACTTGAAACGTAATATTCCCTGCTCCCTCTTGGGTGGGCCTAAAGAAGTAATGCCCGGAGGGATGGGATGTATGGGATGTTGATGCTTGTGTCATTGGTAAATATTCCCAATTATAAACCTGGCTGTCCACAAGATGGTACCACGGATATCTGCTCAAACCGGAACAACAGCAAAAGAATGCCTACGCCTTTCTTTACAGTTAGGTCTCTTTGCGTCATATTGAATGGTCATAACGTCAGTCACACAATCCAACTTTAAGGGGCAGTTATTAAGCACCTTTGTAGTGAAATACATTTGATGATGAACTTTCTGAGACCGTCAGCTTGGAAGATCCCAATATGATGCTCCGAAAGCAAGTACCCGTGAGATCATCCATTCCTTAGGCTTACCGTCATGCACGTTTCACTACTTAATTGCATCTGGTGCATTCGCTCGGAACTACTATACCAAGCTACATGCATATCGAAGCATGCAGGTGGCGATACGCCCAGAATGTGGCTTCCTGCAAAACACCGGATTTGGATAGAACATGTCACAACGTGTAACCTGCCAGGATCTGTCTGCATGATGCTAAAAAACGGTGAACACGCATACTCCTTGAGTTCCTGCAGTGTCATCCAACGATGCAGATTATTCCACGCCCCTGTAAATTTGCTAATAGTGAAAGCTCATAAGGATATCATAATGATTACTAACTGCCGTTCTTGACTTTCTTTCGCGGACTTCTGATTGATTATAGCTATATATAAGTAATGTGTACTGTCCAAGCTTTGAACTAGAAATCCATGACTGATTCAACTGTTGCATGCAATACATCCCAGTTCTCTCAACTACACCTCGATCAGCGACCGCTGCATCTTACCATCGGCAGAAATGAAGAACGAGCCTTCACCACAGGATGTCATTCTTCAAAGGTTACATGGCCATACGTGCGTCATACCAGATCTCCGGTCCCTGATAAAGAATGAAACTGGGGGCATAAACAACAGCCATACGTTATTATCACTATGTGTTGATGACTATATCGATAGGTCTGTGTCTAATTTTTCTTCAGGGACCTTCACCAGAAAGTCATGCTCATGCCAGTGAGTTTCTTAGTCTCTTGCCCGGTGATCCAGCCAAGGCACGCAAAGTCAAAGCTTCTGATTTCCCATTACTAGCCTGTCTTTGGTGGCCACATACATCATATAGAAAACTGCGCGTCTTGGCATTTCTAGTTGTATGGTTGATCATTTGGGACGATGAACTGGACGGGGCATCCCAGTCGATGGCGTACAACCTGAATATGGGTCAGCATTTTCGGGACGAGACGCGTCAATTTATCGAAAGCAGTCTGGATCTGGATAGGAAACAGTCCAATTATATCACCGACAACGCCATTATTTGCGGGTTTAGTCCTATAGCAGATTTTATCCGAGAGGAATATGACGAAGGTATGTCCGTCAGACAGAGCGAACTCCTACTACGTATGAATAGACTAACGCTATATAGAACATAGGCTCACACTGGCAGAAGAGATTGTGTTTGTCATCAACATGTCCAAGATCGAACAGGAAAATCGTCTTGGAACAGATATACCTTCAACCGACCAATACCTGGCGTACCGGCTCGGAACAAACTTGATGGGGGTGATATGCGCTGCAACAGAGTATGTCCGCACCACCGACTTTGCCCTATATATAAAGTTAATAGTATATGAATCTTCAAAGGCTTTCCACACACCTGCGGATTCCCCGGTCAATGACACGTAGTCCGTTGGTGAAGGACATCTGGCACGAGACGAACCTTATCATCGCTGTGTCAGTACATATACAATAGAAGTTCAATATTTTCTGCTAATCTACGCTTAGCACGAATGATATCCTGTCCCTCAAGAAGGAGATCGTGAGTCCTAGACTTTTGCATTCAAAAAAGTGTACACTGACATCAAACCTCTTTAGCATAAAGGAGAAGTGTATAGTCTGATACCTATTCTCCTCAACCAGGCTAGATCACCGCAAACCGCCGTCGACATTTCAATCCAAATACTCAAGGATTCGTTCGCGGACTTGGACCGCATTGAAGCTGATATTGTGGCAAGATCTAATCAAATACCTTTGACGTTCTTGATCGAATCATGCCGCCACTACTGCGCAGGTTTTATTGAGTGGAGGTTCGTGGCATCTTTCCCATGATATTGGGTTCTGCTTAACTGTATGATACAGTCTTCGTACTCCACGATACATGCTCTCTACTCTGCCTGTAGATCAGACGGGGGCTATGATCTTGTTATTTTGAGACGATTGATCTGGTAGTATGTATCCGCACCCAAGAGTTCAGGTAAATACGTCACGTTGGTTGATGATCATATCGGAGTATTTTGAAAATAAAGAAACAATTGCATGAGTATGCGGCGCAGTTAAACCCTCTTTTCATTGAAGTGAATTAATGTCTTCGATATGCCAATTATCACTTGTGGTTTATTTTCTAACTGTGCCATGATATATACTGGCAAGCTCCTGGTTCAAACACGCATGTCTACCAGTTTTGGAGGAATTGAAGTACATCAACCACAGAACGGAATGGCAGGGTAGCTGTAGATGAATTGAAAACTGGTTAACATTTTACATCACTCCCGGTGACATGAATTATATCCAGAGCAGTGGGAAGTCTGCCTATCTCATAGCGAATGCTTATTGTTGTTGTTGGTGTTGCGTACCTTCTACAAATGTAGTCCTTATTCCAGTGTCCACATGGCAAGTACTGTTGCCTTTTGATCCGGTGTATGGTGTCAATTTTGTTGCTTTGGCCTCGTAAAGATAATAACAGAGGTAAAGAAGATCATTAAGGAAAGTCAAACCAGAAATTCATATGGCGAACCGGGATATCCGCGCCAAGTAGCTGTGGGTGTGTAGAGAACAGAGAGTTGCTCCTTGCGCGTGTGGTTGGACCTACTTTATTTAGCTACTCACATCGGGTCAAGCGTTCCACAGAAGAAGCCCGTGCCGCGTACCATTATGTAGCCCGCCCTTGCGTCTGAATGCATTTGTCTTCCCCTCTGCCCTGGATCTCCACTCTACCGATGTCCTAACGGTTTTCTTCAGAACAACGATTTGCATCGTACCTGGTAGTCACAAGAGACTTGGTAACGGTGTGGACGAATACTGCCAGACCCTTGCCTGAGTTGATCTTCACAATGACAACTACGTGAAATTCGCCAATGTAATTGCCGTTCGAATAGTAACCCCATCGTACTGAGCATACAGGCCGTATTTGGAACAAAAGCTGTATTCAGTAAGCTAGCCCTCAGCGCTGAATCAAAAGGCATACAGCTGATCGCCGTTGAGATGACGAAACTATGAGAACATAATCATCTCCCCCTTACCTCCAAAGCTATTCTCTGCTTTCTTCACATAGCCTTGGATGCTTTCTTCCTGTATTTGGTCCTTAGCCAAATGAGGTAGGCTCCGAAAACATTGCGTCACCATATGTAAGACGCCGAAGGTAGTGGATTAACCCGTGTTGCGATCACATTAAAATTCGGTGCCCACTTCTTTAGGTTGTAGGTAGATGTACAGGACTGCGAATGTAGCCCAAGTCGTACTCCATAGTTGGAAGGTGTCAGGCATTCGATTGAGCTATAAACAGAGATTAACGGGTTGATCAATTGCATCACCAACTGCAAGGCGCTCAGATAGTGAAAGAGCCATTAGGGGGTATCGGGCATGACACTACATTCGGTGATTTTTACAGCGTCAAAAGCGGATTCCCTTCACACTCCATGAGAGCATTGTTTCAAGAGGACTGTTAGGGAAGTTATCGTTGTCTGCAATCGGTCACTGAGGTGGCAAGGGCGATTTCCCCCCATGGCGGACAAGGTGGTCATTTAAGAGTTACTCTTACGCAAATCAGGTTCACAGTTATGGTTGCTATAGTGTAGACCACCTGTCTTACCCGTATGGTATAAAAGAAGATTTAAAATCACAAGATTCCTCGCAGAAGGCTTCGTGATACTCGACCCCTCACTATAAAACATTTAGTACATCTTTCTGTTGCAGCGATATGCCTATGGGACGTTTGAAAGTGGTCATTGTCGGAGGGTCCATCGCGGGTCTACTTCTCGCCAACGCTCTTGCTCGACAGGGAATTGACTTCGTTGTCCTGGAAGCTAGGTCGGAAGCTGCACCATGTGATGGAGCGGGACTATGCCTTTTGTCGAGCGGGGCGCGTATTCTGGATCAGTTGGGGATGTTCGAGGACATCCAATATCACGGTGGTCCTATTTCCGTCCAGCGCATCTGGCGAGATGACGGACAATTACTTGGCCACACCGAAGGCTTGGCCTTGATTACCGCCCGGTATGTCATAATCACGCGTTGAACACTTCCACAATGTGGCATCTCATCGGTTTACGGTCGTAAAACGCCTGGCAGTAGGATTGCTAACACAGTAGCAGACAGGGCTATCCTATGATTTTCATTGAAAGACAACGCGTTCTTCAAGTCCTTTTTGACCATCTACCAGACAAAGGACGCGTGCTCCTCGGAAAGAAAGTCATAGAGATAACCTCTTCGGATGACCAAGCGATAGTTGCGTGCTTGGATGGAAGTACCTACCAAGCGGACATAGTTGTTGGAGCCGATGGGATACACAGCATTACGCGCAGGAAGATGTTAAGGGATATTGTCAGCGACAGCCCAAAATCGCGTATAATGCCGGAAGCTCTTGGACGAGGTAATCCACCGTATGCACTTTTAAAGCACCATGCTTACAGTTAAGACAGTATTCAGTGCTCAGTATTCTGCGTTTTTCGGACTCTCCAAGCCCACACCCGGGATGAAGATCGGACATTGTAACAGAACATTTGCGCATGGCTTTTCCTTTTTCAATGCGGTGGGAAGGGATGGTCAAATATTTTGGTTCGTATTCCGTGACATGGGAAAGGTATATGGCGAAAAAGAAATCCCTCGCTTAGACCAAAGCAAGATAGAGGAAGATCTGGCCCCCTTCTTAAATAAGTATGTTGCAGAAGGGGTGCGGTTTCGGGATATATTCGAGAACAGAGTCCGTTGCTCGCATGTGCCTATCGAAGAAGGTTTCTTGAATCAGTGGGTCTGGAGGAGGTATGCATGTATCGGGGATTCAGTACACAAGGTACAGTGATGATCTACTCTAATCTTCGTTGCTGATTCAAGGTACAGACTACCCCAAATCTGGGGCAAGGCGGGAACGGGGCGATGGAGAGTGCCGCGTCCCTAGCAAACACGATCGTTGCCGTGGCGCAAGCCAGCATATCCTCCGAACTATCCCTTCCTCAGATTTCAGCTTCCTTGAAAGAATGGGCTGGATCCAGACAGAAACGCATGAGGCTACTCTGCGAGTTGGGCAACGGTTTTACGAGGCTTGAAGCATTCCATACGCTGAAAGACAGGGTGGTCGGTCTCTACCTCGGTAAATACCAACTAGACGCCATAGCAGATATTCTGTGCGAGACCACTGTTGGCGCCGAGAGACTGTCATTTCTCCCACCTCCTCGGAGATCATTACAGGTCACAATGCCATTTGACACACGAAAAGGCATCCAAGCTGCCACCAGAACTAAATCACTAATACTGCGTTCTCTTATTGCGATTACCATGATCTTCGCACTTCAACCCCTTCTGCAGCACTACATTGCTGGCCGCATCGTTGATCATTCGCCTACTTTACATAAGCATAACGGGCTAGCATACGAAGATGGCGGCTCTTATACTAATCACAAAAGCACTGAGACTCTAGCAGCAATGTCACGAATCGCAGACCACGGGGTGCTGCTAACAATTTGGGCTGTGGAAAGCTGCAGAACAGGGAACATTGCCACTTTGATGTCATTGTAAGTTTTACAAAGTCTTAATAGAGCCTGCGAGAGAACTAACCATCTCATAGTTCCTTGTCTTTCTCTGTGATTTCAGGAATACTTGAAGGGACACATGTGGTAGCCCCCTTATACTTCTTATTATATGCCATACAGTCACCGGTGGCCAAATTCGATACGCCAGATCGTCGCAGTACGCAAATTTCTTACATGAAAATCTTGATTCCCTGCCTTATATCATGCTATTATATCCCGGGGTTCTGGATCACCAATGCAAACCCTTCAGTGCAAAGCAACTCGGCTTTTATGTTCATTCTACTACCTGCTTTTTTCCGACTCCTTCATGTCCAGGTGTCGTCCTTACTCAGAGGAACAACAGTGAAAGAGCTTATTGAGACGCCTAACGTCGACATGCCATATATTAGAATAACATATTACACATGCGCTTTACTATCTGGGGCCATGACCTTGCTATCGAGAGGTTGGGTATCGCGGTCATTACTTGGTTGCTTATTCCCAATAACACAGCATATGAGCCTAACAGTATCTACCATGCATATCGACCACGAGGAGATGGCGGGGTTTGTATGTGGCTTGATATGGGTCACATTCGAGTATATGGACTTGAGCTCGAGCGGGATGATGAGCATTCCCTGGCTCTCTTTTATCCTAGCAGGCACACTCATCAGTCTGATTCTGGGTCCGGCAGCAGCCTTGATGCTAGGATGGGGTCTGAGGGAAGAGTATTTGGCAAAGCATGCGGCACGCCGCCTAGAACGCCCACTGGTTTTGTCAGCAGCTGTTGGAAGTCCAATTTCAGGTTGAGTTTGATCTAGTCACCAGTGTTTAGGAAGGCTTCCTCTCTTGAGAGACAAAAGCCATGACGCGGAGCGCCAGCATTCTTTCGTTCCCATGTACGGTCAAGATAGTTACTGAGTGGCGCTTTTCTCTCCGTCCACTTTCATTGTGCAAAACGTGCTTTTGGTTTCGTCCCTACCAGTTGCAGCACACAACCGTCAATATGATGAATATAGTGCAACTGTCTCATGATATAATTGAATCAACGAACAATGCTACTCAATTTTTGTAAATGAACAAGTTTAACTTGTACTTGAGGTTACATGCCAGACGAGGCGTACCCACTACATATTCAAACCTCTGCTCCAAGTCTCTTCTCACTTCCCAAACTTGTTATCTGATGTCTATACCTTGTATATATTCATATGAGATCCGGGGACGAATTCTACTTGTAACTCCAATTCCCTTTGACTTTAAAGTGCTTTGGGATTGTATCAAAGCGGTAACACTGCCGACGGACCTCCTCACGTGACAAGACAGTCTTTGAATCATGAAGAAAATTAATGTCAATGAACGAAATTCAATACACCTAGAATCGTGCTGTCGACACATTTGGCATGGTCTAAAAGGAATCACGTGAAAGGGATTATGAAGCGCGATACCTAGGGGTTTTTGAAATGCCATGCTTTGGGTAACCATACTTGGAGCATTTTGTCTGTATGTATGTAAAGACCGAGAGTAGACCGGAACGTTAATAAGGGAAGGAGGAGGGGCTGAACAGAGTACCCTTGCTCTGTTAGCGTGCACATGATACCAGCAAAGCCAAAACCCCCGTGCTTACTTAAACATCGATCTGGGCAACAACATCCCTTTCCTGTTACTTGCATTCATGCTGTGAGACCCGAAGCGTATACCTTTCCCGAAACGAATGATCTAAGTTGATGCATTATGAGGCACTGGGTGTGGATAATTGAACACAGCACTTTAGACATGGAATAGTGCACAATTAATCTGACTGTCTCCTTACATACTTCGTTCAGGCCCATACGAGATTATGACTTCAAATTTCCCCCTGCTACGAGCTACATGATGTCCCATGGTGGGGAATGTAATCCAGTGAGTTAGTATTGCTGTTAACTGTTAGATGTACATATATCTCATCGTTACTCGCAAAATATAGCTGTTTTCAATCAGATAATTTTCTACAATCAGGTGCTCTGAACATGACTATTTCCCGATCGTTTTCTGGTGCAGCTATGCGCCGCCCCCTGTCTAAATGTGAAAAGGTACTGAACAAGTTGTGTCTTAGGTATCAATTTTTCACTCCAATCAATTGGCAGTTATTATCTGTTGCAAGCGGTTTCCTGTTTGTGACAATTCTATTTCTGGCAATGATAGCATGCGGCTTCATACCACCACTCCCTCCATCATGGGGTGCCGACAAGGTATACAATCACTACGACAGACACGAAAAGGGAATTCAGGCGGGGGCTGCAATGGTTGTTATCTGCTCCGGATTATGTCTTCCTTATGGAGCAGTTGTATCAAAGCAGCTTCGATTGATACGAGACGTAGACCCAATTCTCGGCGACTTGTCTCTTGTGGCTTGTGGGGTAGCGAGTGTCACCTTCATGATGTCCTCTACATTCTTAGGACTGGCGACGTTTCGGGATTACGGGCCGGAATTGACTTTACTTCTGAGTGATTTGTTTTGGTTCACTCTCATCATGCAGTGGCCGCCGTTTTGGATACAAAGTTGGACCATAGCGTGGGCAATTCTCTCGGACAAAAGTTCAGACCCTGCCTTTCCAAGGTCCTTAGCCATCCTCAACTTCATCGCTCCTTTGGCATTGTCCTCGGCCACCGCCATCCACCTTCATCAGCATGGACCATATGCATGGAATGGCGCACTGACCTTTTGGCTTGCTTTTGTTCTATTCTTTGCCCAGGTTGGGCTTGATCTATTCACTATGGGTCGGAACATCCTTAGAAGTCGAAGGTTGGAACTGGCTGAGCAGACGAATTGAAGTATCACTCATGAGTATGCTTTGCAAATTCGGGTCTTCCTGGGGCACTGCTTGGCAACAGAATGTCCGATAATGGCATGAAAATTGGTTATCGGGCTTGTTGTATGCCCTAGCTATTTGTGACACAATAACAGCCGAGGGAATGATATTGAGAGACGAGCGCAGACGGCCTGCTGTAAAAGTCTGGTGATACTTCGGCCACCGCACATGTGTGTATGCAGGAGACCTTGGACATTTTCATATATAGGAAATCTCGCAATGTAACACTCAAGCGAAGACACAACGGATGCGATGTGAACTAATATTGTAGAAATGTTGTGTGGCAAGAGCATCTAGTTAATACGCGTGAAGGACGTTGGTATTAAATCCCTTAAAACTTTCTGCTTCCAAAGTTACCCTGTGCGCAATTTGCGAATATGTAGCCTATTTTTTGACACTATGGTACTTCCACACATAGTCTATATCTCTGGTGGCTCTTAGTCAAGCGTGAGACGAGAGTAGGGGCGCGGAAGACCAGGGGACAACTCTGCGGAGGCGGTCCTGTTGTACAAAAGGTATGAATCCCGAGCGTTGGCACTTTTTGACTGGTTAATGGCTCTCAACCCCCTATTAAAGTTTTTGATGCAAATAGCAGTACAGACAACCGTTGCAGCAGTCAGTACCAAGGACAACGCGGCGAAAAACAACATCATGCTCTTGCCGGCTGTATTTGCCGAAGATAGAATCACAATCCGGCTGATAAGATACGCGACCAAGGCAAGGTAGCTCATCTGTGATGTGGTAATTAGAAGGCAATTCAGCAATCCCAAGAAACTAGAGAAGAGGTAGAAAAGCTCACAATAATAGCAATTGTACTAAAGGTTCGTTCTCGCTGGACAAACCAGACCCCAAGAAATATCGCAATGATGGCGACAGGGATGAGCAGCATCGTCAAAGTATACTCTGGTTCTTTAAAGTGCACATATACTAGATTATATTGGATAATGAAGCCAATCAGAAAATAGAGGTTTAGCTTTATCAGTACCAGAAAAACCTGCATTTACCATCTATTGTTAGCGAGTATTTACAAGATACTTCAGGAAAATGGGGAACACGACGGAGTCGATGTTACCTCATAGGCCAGATAACGCATCCGAGTATCCAAGCTGCCGTGAACGGACTTATAGATAGCCCATGAATAGTCCCGGTGTATTAAATATGCAATTGGGCATAGAAAGAGAGTGCACAGCCCTGTAAATATACATACGAGGATCTCTGCTGGCTGGACCTGAGGCCACACATTGCGTGTAGTATCCACCAGTGTCGGATAGTTGAAACGTGACTCGAACAGTCTTGCAGTAGTATCTCTCATGACGAGAAATTGCATCACAGAATAACCGAAGCTGCAGGCATTACAGATACAGACTGCAAATAGAAGGATGTTATTCTTGTGGTGGATTGCATCCAAGGATAGAAACAACTCAAACAGGCAGGCGAATATCAGAATGCCTAGGTTAATTGGAATCAGGTAGGACACCGGCACTTGATTGATGGTAGGTGTGACCCATCGTTGCCATTCAACCAGTATATAGCTGCCTTGTAATTTAGATATGCTCGTGCCCACGAAAGGATGGGGGCGTACATCTCGAAGACGATGGTCAAGACTGCTTGTGCGAGCAACCCGCTGCACAACCACCATTCATATCTCGTCGTCGGTCTATACATGCTCACACAAGAATGTGATGTGCCACCTAACGATGTCGACTGTTTCAGTTGACCAAGTCCATGCCAATACGTTCAGTGAATTTTTATTGCCCGCCTCCCACGTGATGAAGTTGGACTTGCAGCCAACGACGGTATGAAAATTCTCCGGCTGATTGCCAGGTTCGCCCTGCGTTTGATAGGGCCGTAGGCAGCAGCTACGGGACCCGATATAGGTTTATTACAGCCTATTGGTTCAGAGTGAGACATTTTTAGCTATTATTATTTAAGCGCCAAATACATCTGTTCCCTGCCAAACATGGGTCAGGTTTTTCAAAAGTGGGGCGTCGGAAACTATTGATTTTGTGTTTGCCGGTCGGCCCACCCCACCCCGTCAGGGTCTGATCGGTGTCCGAATGGCTTAGCATTAGGTATCAAACAGGTCTCTGGAATCTTCAATCGCCTGATTAATCGATCCCCATGTCTTGAGACATTCCATGGTACGGGTAGTCTTCCTCAACCAAATAATCGATTGTCCCGTGTTGATCTTGTGTACTGGGGTAAATGAAATTGTACATGCCAACGGGATTCTTATGATTCCGATACAGGGCAAGGAAGAGAGGTCATACTGCCACTAATCGTAAGGCAGGCAGGCCATTCAGGTTTTATGTTATGAACTCCACTCACTAGTATAACAATTGGTTCATTCAGTTTGCAATAGATCCCGTGCCCCGATTTGCTGAAGTCTCAACAGGCACTGTTCAGGCAGTCTGCTAACCGGATTACTCTACTCTCGTCTCGTGAGAACTCGCCTACCAACTGCAATCGAGAAAACGCAGGTGCATTATCTGCTACAAAGTCCTTGCAAGATCTATTGCCCAAGAATTGACGAGGGCACTGACATCTATTCCGATTTTCTGGTAGGTGTTCTTGAGAATATATATTAATTCAGATACATGGTACTATACTACAGGCAAAGGAAGAACGGGAAATCAGCATTCCAAGTACAACCGTGCTCAACTTGAACTCCACAACAAAGAGCAAGAGATAATGTAATGTTCATTTCATGCCTTCTGGTCGGGAAATTTTCTTAGCATGTCACCCAATCGATCAATAGGCGCAGACATCAGACCAACAACAGTCTCATACGGTGGCCGGTCAGGGGCCGCTGGATGGCTCCGCGTAGGAATGAAATTCTTAGTGCGACCGAAAGAACGCGCCATACTTTCGGAGGCAGATTCACCAATGGCATGTTCAAGAGCCGGCAGATCTTGGCTTTCTTCCTCATTGATGTGCTGCTCTAAGTTCGCCCACAGGCTTTGAAGAGTAGGGATGAACTCGGTATCATCAGGCTGAAGGCCTTGAAATGTATAGAGAAGCTCCTTGACCTGCAGTGTCACGCCAGTTAGCTTGATTCGTCCCTCAAAGAAACGAGGCTATACGTAATCATACTATTTGGTGCTCCTCTCTATCGTGCTCCGCCATGGCCTTGCCGTTGTCCAGCTTTAGCTCCATCTGGGGATACACGACTAGCTCCTCGCCAATCGAGTGGCGGGCCAGCTCCCAGGTAAATTGGTTTTGCCATCTGACCCTTTCATCATTCGTTTTTGCACCTAGAATTTGATGGTAAGCATCCTTCAGTTCGCGGTGGTCGTTCTTGATAAGTTCAGAAACGCGAATCGCGGCAGGGGCGGTGACCCGGAAACCACGCCTCGCGGTCTGAACCGTTTTGGAGAAGAGATTGGAGGATTGTGGTCCCCTGAATGATGTTCTCGATAAAGAATAAAGTGACATGATCGCTTGCCTGATTGGTTCGTAGGCGGGTTTGTAGTAATTTGCTCAGAAATGGAAGTACTATTACGACGTGCGCACTGTATTACAGTCCTTGAGTTCGTGGGGTAGAGCGCAGAACCTGTTTATAATGTCTGAATTTCGAGGTCCAGACCAGCTCGAAAGTTATGACATGGGTGGTCACTAAGTGTGCAGTCCAGCCAGCCAACAATGGTTAAGCAATTAATCATGTTTTGTCTGCGCCTCAAATTGGGTGAGCCTCATATTGGCATGCATGATAGAACAATGACATAGTGCAGACGTCGTGATTTTGGCGGATGGTGGCTCTGCCAGTGAAACCAATAGGAATTTGCAATGGATCGTTGCCATGCGGAAAAGCCCTCAATAACCGGCTTCTTGACCGTTGAGGTCTCTGGGATCTGCTTGATAGTCCCGCTGAAGGCTTAGCGTAGCCATGGCCACTCGGTCAATTTGCTCATCACGACGACAGCCTTCCCAAAAGTTTATTCGGGGTGGAAGGTGAGGGAACGGTAACTCTATTATGCGTGAGGTAACTAACTGTTCACGGTTGGACGTCATGGCTGAGGCCGGAACCGCCCGGACGCCAAGGCAGGAAGTATAAGAACATAACTTCATGCCAGTGGGAAAGACCAGTTCAGAGAGACGACCATAATAACCAAATTCGAGCAATTGATTGGCAAGACAGCAAGCAATGATGGCAGCGCATCCCTTACAGGCCTTGGGGGAAGCGGTGGGAGCGGCGGGCGCCGACCCGCGCATCAAGCAACTGAATTCGCTGTTCCAGGGGGCCAATGACGGGCCCGCCCGGACGGCGGCCAAGTTGACGGGGGTTCAGCAGGGCGGCAAGCGGGAGGATGATGGGCCCTACTTTACCAACAACGAGGGCATTCCCTTACCCGATCCCGCTCACAGCAAGACGGCGGGTGGACTGCCCTTGGTGTCGGACACTTTCTTGCTGCAGAAACAGCAGCATTTCAACCGCTCGAAGAACCTGGAGCGGATGGTTCATCCCTGTATGTTCCTGCTGCTCCTCGGTGATTCCTTCGCCATCTCGGTCTGACTGACGATGCACAGGTGGTAGTGGAGCTTTCGGATACTTCGAAACTACCAGAGATGTCTCCAACCTCACAAAGGTGCATACATCCCTTGGCCGCTTGGAAGTAGAATAGAACTCGAAGGGAATGAAGCTAACCTGGACAGGCCGACTTCCTCAAGTCCTCCGGACTGAAGACGCCGGTCTTCGTCCGCTTTTCTACCGTGACTCTCGGTCGGGAATTCCCCGATCTGGCCCGAAACCCGCGTGGCTTTGCCATCAAGTTCTACACGGGAGAAGGAAACTATGATATCGTGGGCCTGAATTTTGTATGTGTTGCGCTGGATCTCATTCGTAATGCCTGATTGACAGATCTCTGACTGTGTCTCATCAGCCGGTCTTCTTCTGCCGAGACCCTATTCAAGGCCCCGACGTCATTCGGTCGCAATCTCGGAATCCTCAGAATTTCCTCCTCGATCACAACTCCCTCTTCGATCTATTGGCTAATACGCCCGAGGGGTATGTTTCGTTCACTGGATAGGAAAGATGCATGTTATGTGGCTGACAATGGATAGAAATCATGCCGGTATGATGTTTTTCAGTAACCATGGAACGCCGAAGGGATGGCGAAACAACCACGGCTATGGATGCCACACCTTCAAATGGTAAGCCTGCTGACATGAACTTGTGACCTGTTCCTACTTAACACTTGTAGGGTGAATGGTGAAGGCAAATTCGTGTATATCAAGTATCATTTCTTGGCAGACAATGGCCAGCGACAATTCACCGCCGATGAAGCCCAGTACCACGGAGGGGCCGATCCGGACTGGTCCAAACGCGATCTGTGGCAGGCAATCGAAAAGGGGGAAGAGATTACCTACACTGCACACGTGCAGATCATGCAACCCGAAGACGCAGACCCTGTGAAACTGGGCTTTGATCCGTTCGATGTGACCAAAGTGTGGCCGAAGAAGCAGTTCCCGGTAAGTCCTAAATTCTCCGTCTTTTTCTCTGGGACGCCCTAGGTCACTCATCCATTTGGTATAGCTTCAAGAGTTCGGTAAACTCCGCCTCAACAAGAACCCCGAGAATTTCCATCGCGATGTTGAACAGGCGGCATTCTCCCCGGGAAGCATGGTCCCCGGCATTGAAGACAGCCCTGACCCCTTGTTGCAATTCCGCATGTTCTTCTACCGCGATGCGCAATATCACCGAATCGGCATCAACCTCCACCAAGTTCCCGTCAACTGTCCTTTTATGGCCTCGTCCTATTCGTCCCTGAATTTTGATGGTCAGATGCGCGTGGATGCCAATCACGGCATGAACCCACAATATGTCCCGAACAGCTTTGTGAACAAGTTCCGACCAGATGTTGCCGAGGCGCCTTACCAGCTGGCAGACAACAACGTCGGACGCAAATCCCATTTCTACCACGAAGGCAAGCCTTCCGAATACGATCAGCCACGGGCTTTGTATAAACAGGTGATGGATGAGCGTGCTCGCAAGCAACTGCACGATAACACTGCCCGGCTCCTCCGACTCGTGGAGTATCCGCTGATCCAGATCAAATATTTGGCACAATTGTACCGCATCGCACCGGAGTATGCAAAGGGCGTCTATGATCTGCTCCCCGAAAAGCCGTTTGCGTTTAGCGAGGTCGAGCAACGCGCCGGGGGTGCCGAGGCCGCCATGAAGGAGCCCAAGTTCCGCCCTTGCGCCCCGACCGACAAGTTGGTCGGAACGTGTCCGATGCAGCCTATTTACAATGTCCAAGTTTAACAGAACCCAACCTCTGCAATACCTTTGATCTATGCCTCTTGTTGCTTCAATTGTATTGTCTTCTGATAAGTAGTGCCAAATATGACATACTGCAGACCTTATGCCATTTATCATGCACTTGGTACGGTGATGATATATATAAATATCTTCGTGCCAAAGCCGAGAACACTAACTACTTCATTGAACACAATAACTCGGAACCCTTGGCCTGAGGCTAGTAGGGACATGAAGACCCATTAACTAGTATAAGTAGTAATATTGATTCTAATATTAAGCCCACTTTATTGGTGAAGGCATCGAGTTACTACAAAATAATAGGTCCTCGGGATGGTTTGCCCCAATGTCGGAGAGTACGAGTACGAATGATGGCGCCGATCGATACTGCGTTTGGGATAGGATGGTGAAACAACAAGATCGGAAATGATGGACGCGCCCCACTAATTCAGGCAGATTCAAACACTCATCCGATCCATCGTCCTTATTTTTTTTCCCCTGTACTGTTTCCGTATCCATATTCCCCAACAAGTAGTAAACAAAAGAGTCATCCCAGAAACAAGATGCCGGTTACTTTAACTACTTCCAGCTCCAGACCAGAGGTGTGGAGGGGAGCCAAAGTACTCACGGCGGATGCCCTCTTAGAGGAGTCTTGTCCAGAAAATGCCTGTCGCTGCAAACAACTGTTCCAGAGCTCTTTCACCCCTGAGCAACTCGAAGAAAACCACATCAGCTCCTCCTCAAATGGCCTTGTCAATGCTGTGTATCGGGCATATAGCAACCATCATCATCTGATCCTGCGACCGGAGGAGGTGTGGTTCGCCATCCTGTCCCAACTGAGCTTCTACATCAACGCGCATGCCGAAGATTTGCGGTCGCATTTCGTGGCCCATGAAGGCAAGGAGGAACTTTCTGTCACTGCCGTCGGAACGGTATATTCGGTGGACTTTGGTGCACTGGCAGTCCAAATGACTGAGGCGATTCAAGAGAAGGTCGTCGATCCCGACCTACGCACGTGGCTCATGCCGGCATTCAGCACCACCACCGTCAGCGACCAGATTATAGCAGCGGTCCTGATGATGGGTGCCATGCAGCAATACTTCTCCTATAATGCATTTCTCTTATGTGGGATTCCCAGTGTAACATTGTTGGGAGAGCGGGAGGACTGGGTACAGCTGCTGAGCAAACTGGACAAGCTCCCCGAGTTGGGTGCGGAGCCCGCTCAGTTTGCTCGCCTTCTTCGACCTGTCTTGCAAAAGTTCATCATCTCCTTTGATGAGCCCACTTCAGAATCTGTTCGTGAATTCTGGGGTTTGTGCGCAGATCGAATCTCCGGCGGAAGCGGCCCGTCCTACTTGTCGGGGTGGATCACCGCGTTCTGCTATTGGAATGAAAAAGGCCAGCCCATGGATAAGGGAACTCCGGGATGTGAACTGGATGGTGTTCAGTTTCATCGTGTCGACTTTGACGATATCCCGGGCGCGTTCGCCTCAGTGCCTATGAAGGTAGATGACAATGGCACCGAGTATGAGACAGAGCTAGTCGCCGGAGTAATCGGCATTCAAGCAAGTTGTGGCAAACAGACGACAGCTGCTACTGGAGATGCAGAGGCCCAGCAGGACACAATCCAACCGGCTTCAGGATGGTGGATATATGAGAAGGAACCTGCCGCAGAGAATCCGGAGTGACATCCACCAAGGCGTGGACTTGCTGATTGCTTAGGATATACGAAAGCCCCAGAATGGCTTATTTGAGGATGCAAGACCGAATACATAACTTCAATCAACATTCAAAATGGCGAATCGTCGACTGTAGGACGAGTAGCATTTCAATGATTGGATATTGCACATGTGCGGTGGCTTGAACACGGCAAGGCCTCTATGCGAATGTAAGAAGGAGATTACGTGCAATATGGACACGCCTTAGGACCCCCTCGAAGTGCAACTAGTAGTGATCGACATACTACTCAAATGTAGACTATCTGAGTAACAGACTAACTTGATCTGAGTTCGTCGTTGTTGGCTACGTAGTATCTTCGCCAGCGATCATTCTGTGTAATCCTTGGTGTTGATAGTTTAAGGAGCTGCTGACTTAAATAGTGTACTATTCGAGCCAGCGGAGGTCCCCAAAACTGAGATTCTGGACATTGTAGATAGATAATTGTGTTCTTTTTAGGTATGGGTATATCTACCAGTTTTGAGGTAATGCCAACCCGCCACCTCAACACTTTCAGTAGTGAACACAGCTACTGTGCAGCCTGGTCGGACTTGACTGCATTTCCTGCCTACCTCCGTCGAACCCCGCATTATTATATAACAATGTCGCACACACTATTTATAACCCTACGTACTCCTCGCTACTTGACCATTCACCGATCCTGATGCATGCAAACTGGTTCCTGTTGACGCATGTGGAGGAACCTCTTGATGACATTGCCGTATTGGAGCGAGGTATCTCCTCTGTAGTATTCCAGTGGCCGTACTTGGTAGGCAGTGCATGCAAGTCAGCTAACAAAGCCAGGAAACCTTATGTTCAGCAGATACATCCTCCTACCGCTGCTTAGGATTCTCGTGACATCCCTATGCCCATAAATCGACATTGTTCAAACAAGTAAATATGTCTCCTATTGTCCTCCAATGCTGCGTTCAGCCACAGTATCTCATATAGGGAGACTTTAGTATACCCACGGTCTACCTAAGGGTTGTCCTCCAATTTCAAGCACTCGTCACGGAAGATGGGATAACCCGATTGGATCTGACAGGACAGATGTTCAGTAACATGTTTTGGAACTCCTTTGCGCGCATCTCGGCCTCTCGCTTTCTGTAAACTGGTCAGGGACAGTGGAAAGCTCTCTTGACAGCCACACAGCCGGATGACGAGACTTATTCAATATATAAACAGATGTCTCCCTGCACCCCTGGAATTCAGAGGTCCCTGTGGACAAGCTGGGTACACTAATGGGTTCGGTGGTGTGCGGCTGAGCCAATGGCGACAGCAGTCCCCAAGCGCCAGTAATATCCGGCCGACACAGGGAGTCGGATTTTGGTTAGCGTGTTGAGGATCATGGTAGGATCTCAGAAACTGGGCTGAGCTGCTGAGCTGGTTAACTTCCAGCGATGCGAGTGGGGCGTGCGGCTGAGCCGGGTCACAATAATACCAACATTCCAGACTAGCCTAGAGACCGTGACTTCAGTTGTCTTGTTCATATCTACAGTTCTGTCATAAGTTATCCGTCTGTGAATAGAACTATAAGACTGATACTGTCAGGGAGAATGCGTCCAGGGATATCTGAACAGTGCTTGGGGTTTCCTCGTGAGTTGATGTTTGCTATAACCATAGCTTTGCAGCGTCAGTTGACTCAATCGTATTCCACTTGCTTTGAATGAACAAGGTATTGCTTTTTTTCCTTGCTTTACCTGGCTTTCTGCTGACCGCAGACTGGAGTCATCGGACTAATACCTAAAAGCTCTATGTATGATTTCTTGCCACCGTGGGCACCGATAGCGCATTTTCGGTAACTACTTTCGTAGTGGCACGGAAGCAAGACCAACAGGTAACTAAGTGGAAGTATGCATGGGATCTATGTAGTAGCCATCAGCTATAGAAAGATAATCTTCATGTCACACTTGGCCGATAATCATGGTAATATTGCCACATCTCTAAGATATATAAACCCCATCTCCGTGGCTCGGTGAGAAACTATATTTTAACCACTCACTTACTGGCTAGTTCGACACATACACCTCTATTCGTCTCTAATCCACTATAATCCTTTCTGACTATATAAAATGAAGGTCACCGCTGCGATTGGGAGTTTTATCTTTACCTTGTCAACCGCTGTCAATGCGGCTGTAACTGGCAACTGCACACCAGGCATGAATTATTGCCAATCCGTCCTTGACGACGTTGGTAAGTTCAAACTACTGTTGATACCACTGTGAATCCCCGACAAGGTAAACTGACTTATAAAGGCGGTAATATGGATGCAATGCACGATGCGATCGTCCGATGGGGTTCCCCTGAAGCGGCCCGCTATCCAGGCGTTTGGGATATTTACCTGTTCCATTGCAATGCCGACAAGTCACTTTCTGTTATCGAGGAATGCCATATTGGCTGTTGGTACAGTGGGGCTGGAAAGAGTGACGTCTGTGATGGCCCGTCTTCTGGGCCATGGTAGAAGGTGCAACGGATACAAAGGCAGGAATGGGCCTGTTGGGAGTTCAAGACCATGCCATTCAATGTCCATCGTTTACCCGAATTCAAATAGGTTATGTATGGATAACATTCAGAGGTTTTCATGACTATGGGAGTTGCCCCTCCTATATGCAGCTTTCAGCAAGAAGCCGTTCGACCGCAGTGATGAATCATCACCAAGAATTAAATGATCCTAGTAACCTGTATGAAAGGCCTTCTTTCTGATTCTTAAAAATCCCAGATTCCCAGAGATATCCGGTCAGGTGCTAGCTCCTATCAATATCATAGTCAATGGAAACCGCTTCTACGGGTGTAGTAGCCTTCTAATACAACTCACGGAAACAGACGGGAGAAATTGAGTAAGTCGGCAACCCCTGATGCGACACTTAGGATCCCAAGTTGCTCATCGGACAGACGTGGAGGGCCCTCGATATCATCATACATATGAACAAAAGCCTTCTCATTTCAAAATAATTTTATCCGACACATGACCGGCTATTGTACTACTAGCAATGAACTACCAAATTTAAGTTGAATTCCATGTGTTCTATGATATGGGTAATGTGACTTCTGTCTAGAAAACAAGGTTTCCTCTGTGGAATGTAAATCTAACGCGAGGGTGAGTGACTCAAGGGTCATGATAGAAGATCCAGCTCAACAGCCCTTGCCCACAATTAGCCCTACATCTCAGCCCCGCTCGAAGAGTCATCATTGCTCACGCCGCCAGAGGAAGTAAGGGTAGCAGCGTATGTAGCACTGGTGTCATGGCTTGCGGTCACATTGATTCCCAGAGTAATCCAACCAAGAATACCATCTGCAACCGTGTCTCCCAGCAATGCATACTCGAAGAAGGGGTCAGAGTTGCTATCCGCCGTCTCAACCTGGACCACATGGTCATCGGCATTCTCGGTGATGGCAACCGTGCTGGTGTTGTAGGGGTAGGTAGCCTCGACCTGTGAGATCAAATCCTGGTCAAAAAACAGCTGACCGATGTGCGGGATATGGCCTCCAGACAGGGTGTTGTTCGCGAGGACCTGAGCGCCCACGTGGGCGATGACATGGATGTGAGTTGCGCGACCCGAGTAATGTCCAGGGAAGACTGTCTTGAAGCCAGCGACGCCATCAGAATCGGTCTTTTGGAGGCCACGGAGGAATGTCTTGTCAAGGTTGGAAGAGTCATTGCCGTTGCCATTCATACTGCTTTGAACTCCAGAGTAGATTCCAGTTGCATTGCAATTCCAGACGTCCCAGTAAAGGTCCTGGATGGGTTCGCAAGTGTTGATGTCGATAAACTGACCGTCCAGGATGAGAGGCACTCCTGGCTCTCCGTCGGAGACATCATGGCGGATCAGCTCGCCTTTGACCCAGAAGGGGCCAACCTCACCCTCCGGAGCTAGGATGCAAACGGGGTCCTTCGGGAAAAGCTCTGACTCGGGGGTGTTGGGCGTCACCTGGAGCGAGGAATGGTGCGAGGTGTTTACCACCTGCTCCGTACTGCGGAGGCCCAAGGAGCGCTTCTTGTACGTTTCATACAAAGCCGCGCGGCGAGAAGCAGCTCGTTCGTGCACGCCACTTCTCTTGAGTTGTCCAGCACACTGGCTTAGACTCCGTTGAGCGTTGTGGAGGAAGGCACGCTTGGAGACATCGGTAAAAGAGTTGGGTTCATGGGCTCCAGGATGCGCAATAGCGAGACCGGCAAGCGAGAGAGCAATCGCCTGCTTGAGCTGAAGAATCTGCATATTGAGGCGATGGAGAAGAGACGGGTTGAGGAACGACTTGTTGAGTTTGAGAGGCGTTGTGTACCAGAGTGATTGAATCTGAACAAAGCCATGCTTTATATATGCCCAATTTCACAGACGGGGATGGCTGTCGTCCGAATGCAGTTCAGATATCCACGTAATGCCCTTCACGTTCGATATTGTCACTGCGGCATACAACCCGTCCCGAGCCCTGTAAACGCGTCATCGTCGTTGTATACAATCTTGGCCGACCTCCTGTGGTGTATAGAAGCCTATTCAAGAGTATCAAACTCTGTGGGGCAGGGGACGGAAGGGTCACATCAGTCAATATCAAGATGAGGTGGCTGATGAACTGGATGAATCTGATTGATGGAGGTATCGGCTGTTCGAGAAGCATTTGGAACCGAGCGGAGTCGGGGGTCGCTTGGCTCTTGGCAGCTTCCGCGTCTCGGCACCATTTCCCCAGGATCGACACTTCCTTTCCCCAGGATCGACACTTCCTTTTCCAATCTTGCATCTCATTGGCATCGACCATAGTTTCCAGCCCTGGCCCTTTGCCGGCCCAGCGTTGCCGCTGACTAATCCTTGCTCCCGGTCCCAACCCAAGGGCGGAATCGAGAAGTCGATGACAGAGCAAAGCCCCCCCAGGAACTGCTAGGGTGAGGAGTATTGCACGGTGTCTTTCGCGTTCTGGCCCACTAGACCTCTTCCATTAGCATGAGTGGTCAACCTTCACTTCAGCGCCCTGGTGGCCGAGCTCGCAATGCTTGTGATCTGTGCCGTCGGAAAAAGGTACGTAAACGCATCCAAAATGAATGTGTCCTTCAAATCCCGCAAGTGGAGTTCTATGGATATGAAGCGCTAATGCTGAAAGACACTACTAGATTCGCTGTGACAACGCCCAACCAGCCTGTGAGACATGCTCCTTGGGAGGTGTACAATGCACCTTCACAGAACATCCCAGCCTGGTGCGAAAAAGCCTACGGGAGTAAGTACCGGTGCAATTCCCATTCTTCTACGCTGACCGGCATACTAGTCAACTCCTCGATGCCACAGCACGAATACGAGAACTGGAAGCCCAGCTGGCTGTTCGGGACCTCTCTTCCGATTCCGGCCCGAGAGAGCGAACTAGTTCTGACGCACGTTCAGACAACCCATGGCTTGCCTTGTTCGCTGTAGACCATCTTCAAGACACATACAGCATAGATACGTCGCTTGCAACATTTCAAGCAGAGATCGCCCATTGTGGAGTGGGAGAATCTGGCTCCACTAAAAGAGCGTCCTTTTCTTCCATAGTCTACCGAAAAACAGGCGCCCAACTCGATCTCGACCACTTTCTCGCCCAAGCTGCACAGTCGCTCAGATTTCGGGGCATCCAGAGCAGGACAGGCTCGCATCGTTCGCTGTCACCAAAGTGGCCACCCACACCTTTGGTACGATACTCCATCGACCACTACTCCCAGAGTGGGTTGTATTCCATTTTCCCGGTTGCGAGCGCCGATGGCCTGAGTCGATTGATCGAAGAGGGTATACTAGACCGTCAAGATGAAACTGTGCCTGCAGCGAACCTGGCCTGCTTGTTTGCCTTGACTGCAATGATGAGTGTAATGCATCGACTCAGCCCGGAATTCGTCAATGCTGAACCAGATGCATATATTCAGGCAGCGCTGGGCCTCATGCCTAGGCTGTTGATGGAAAGGACCACGGTTAGAAGCTTGGAGGCTGTTGTGCTAATTGTATGCCGCTTCTGTCTTGAGCAGATTATTTTTTGCTGACTCCCACAGATGACCTATGTCATGCCAAGTGGGCAGATTGAACCCGGGCAACTCCTACTATCCCTAGCTACGCGAATGATACTCACCCTCGGTGCGCATCGAATGTCCATAATGAGCAAGCCTGAAGGTAGACATCTCCGGGCCTTGTTCTGGTTCTGTTATGGAGCGGATAAGAACATGCTCATCCGGTATAATCAATCACCGCATTTCATAGATGCGGACTGCGACCTCCAAATACCGGACAATTACGTTTTGTCGTCATCTGACAATCAATTTTTCTCGAGGCCTCTTTCTAACCATGAACTACTTTTCCCCTCTGACGTCCGACTGTCTCTGCTGAAGTCCAAAGTGTACCATCTTCTTTATTCCCGCCATGCTCGAGCTCATTCAGAGGCCCGTCGCCTTCAGTATATCCGTGAATTGGATCAAGAGCTGAATGATCTGAAACGCACATTCCCGGCTAGTTGTTGGCCGGATCTATTTGCCACATCATCCGCCCCCAATTACACTTTCCATGACCTGAGTATGCGGGGGGTCTGTCTACACCTAGAATTTTACTTCTTATTAGGGAAGATTCACGAAGCGAGTCCTTGTCTTGAGAGCAATAATAGCATTTCCAGCTGGTCAATTCTTCCATCCAGTGTCGAGCTGTTCTATCAGGAATCTCGATCTATTCTGTTATACATACGTCATGTTCGTGATTTTCTCAACTGGCATACTTTCTGGTAGCTCTCCCTCATTCGGTGTTCCTTTGAAGTTACTAATACTGGTTACTCAGGATCTACGCCCAATTCTTGCTGACGAGTGTCTTCTCCCTTTTCAAATGTATTATCAGTTATCCTGCCGCGTCGTCAAATGAGAAGGACATACAACTACTGCAGAGCTTAGTGGACATGTTCGCTGAATTAGATGGAAAGGAGTCAGAAAACGCGAGGGGGCTGTTTCCTCCGTTTTATTTCACAGTCTGTCTGATCAAGAGACTTATCTTCCTTGCCAGGCAAGCCTCCAACAAGGCTTGCGAGTGATGCTGGCTTGTTGGTCGCGTTCAAAGTGGGATTAGGGGCTCTTAGAAATATCATATGACTGAGTGAGACGTGGACTCGTGTGGTTTCAGCCTTTCCCTCTCACTAGAGTACAATTGATCGTTGCGAATGTATTAGACCTTGATTTCGAACGGATCTCGCTCTAACCCAACATTATACATGCCAGAAGGTATCTCTGATTAAATAATTGAATGGAACAGTAGAAAGATATTTCATCTCATCGGTTCGCAATGAATGGAAGCAGTTATATGTTGCTTCATTCTATAGGAAATAAGTAAAATGGTAAGGTTAATTTATAGGTGACATCAATGCATGTTCACTTAATTGAAGCTTAAGATTCAATGGTAGCCAGGCCGTACTACCAAGGACAGTTAGGATATGAATCAGGTGCTCTCTCCCAGCGAGCATGAGCATCGCTTGTGCGTGAATCTCCCCGGGGCAATTGTCTATGTTGATACAGATAAGAAGATACTGATGTGCCAACCTAGTATGGTGTGGTGGAAGTGAAACTGTGGGATGCTCTACTGGGATTGGCTGAAATTAGCTTCCGTTTGTGTAATGACATCACAGCTCCGATGTAAATTACTAGTACTATATCCCCCACCCGAAATACCGAATCTGAGAACAACCTGACCTGGTCCAACCTATCGTCAAGTAATCGAGTTAGTGAGGGGCGGGCTATCTGATGGGTACCGTATGTAGGTACCTACCCTTATACCTCGGAATCTTGGGAAGTCGACTACATCCACAGAATTATCGTTGAATCCCACCAAAAACAGGTGACTCGCGATCACAAAGTCCGATGCTGGAGCGTGAGAGACAAGGTTTCTCAAAGGAGTGTTCGTTAATTTTATATCAGCAACAATTGGAAAACTCTTGGTTTCAGCATACACTCTACAAGCTTTTAATGAAGAGCCGATTCAGTGCTACGTATCCTTCTATATGGTATGGCACGAGCAGCTACACGCTATCAAGCATCCTTATCTGCGCGAGTCTGGGAATCTGGCCCCGCAAGCACCGTTTTGCACCAAGTGGTTAATTAGAGTGGAATATATGATACATGTATGCTATGGGCACAGTGTAGGCTTCGACATGGTGATATGCGCAACGCTGACTAATGTGAAGGGGTCGGGCCCTTCTCCACCCTTTACGCGAAGGAAGAGACGGAAAAAGCCCGGCACGCCCTGGAAAATCTCCGGGACCGCGTGGCTGCGCCGGATACTGTGCTGTGTGATTACTAACCCCAGAGTTGTTATAATAGTAATATTATTACTATACAAAGGAGAGATCTTAAGTGGTTCTACAAAATGTTATATGATACTATGACTGCCTCAGGGTATCTATGGTGTGGCTGACTGGCTGTTGACTACGCAGTCGAAATACGTTAGGGACGGGTAGTATCGCATTGTGTACCAAAGCGATGTATGACACCCACCACAACCAATCAAACAACATACATGAACCCATTCATGACTGCCCTCTGCTCATCGTAATCCAGTCTCTGCATGGCCACAACATCGTTGGAATCTACAGTCCCGGCCAAGTCCGCGAACCTTCTATTCGCCCTGGTCAATAAACCCCTGAGGATCAAGATACACCCCATTCCGAGGCACTCAAACGCCAGAATACAGCCCCAGCTCACTCTATACGTCGGCCCATACTGATCTAACCAGAAGTAATTTGCAAACAAGCTTGCAATATTAGCACAGGTATTTGCCATCCCGATCGCTGCAGCCCTCTTCGCAGGAGGCTGGACAATAGTCGAGGAGAGCCAAGCGTAGGTAGTAGCATATACCCCGTACGTACCACAGCAGGCCAAAAAGGTAAAAGCGTAGCGGGCCCACTTCAGGTATTCTGGTACTGCAATGAGCAGAACAGTCGCGATAATTGCGACGCTCTGTGATATGCCAGCAGGGACCGAACGTATCTGCCGCCTGTCCGCCCACCAGCCCCATCCGACGGCCCAGAAGAATCCCACCACGTAGGGGGGAGAAGTCAGAAGAAGGACAGTGGTGTTGTTTGTGAACCCGATGTCTTTGATAAGGGTGGGAAAGAAATGCGAGAAGGATATGGTAGCAGTGGTTGCCAGTTGCATACACGCAAATACCCATGTCCTCACATCCTTTGCAGCCCAGACAATTGCCCGTGAAAGTGGGACTTTCCCTTCGTCTAATGTTGTCTCGGAGCCTGCGTCTGTTGCGAGGCGGGCCTGTGCGACGACCCGCTCCGCTTCGGTGAGCCACTTCGTTGTGGCTGGAAAATCAGGGAGGAAGGCCATGGCGGTGACTGCGATGACGATGGTGGCGAGGCCTTCAATGATGAAAAGCCATCGCCAGGACGCGAGATGGGTGGCGTGACTCATTCCAGTCAGAATACCAGCAGATATTAATCCAGCAAAGGCGTTCGATAGTAGAATCCCTGAAACAAGGAGCGCAGTCCGCACGCCAAGTTCCTTTTTCGTGTACCAACAGCTGAGGAAGTAGATTGCACCCGGGAAAAATGGCGCTTCGACAAAGCCCAGCAGGAATCGCACGGCCATGATGCTGCCCACGTTGTTAGTTGCTGCTGTGCAGCCGCTAACCAAGGCCCAGACTATCATGCATAGTGGCTGTTATTTTCTTAGTTGTTCTGCATATTATATACTTGACAGCATGGGCTCGGATACACACCTGGTAGACTGAAGGTCGAAACTTGGTCATGAGCATTGTCGAAGGTATCTGCATCAGGATGTACCCGACCGAGAAAATGGATATCACAGTCTGATACTCAGCTCCTTTCAGATGAGTGTCCTCTTGTAATCCGTAGACACGAGCTTGAGTAATGAAGTTTCGATCCAGATAGTTGAACAGATATATGAGCAGTACCAACGGCAAGATGCGGCGGTCGATCTTTCTTAGCAGCCCATGCTCTATTGTCCGGGCGAATTCTGCATCGTACGCCCGGTAGGTGGCCATAACATCCGTAACACCGTCGGCTGCGACATCTTCGATCCAGGTATTCTTGTCCTTATTGTCGTTTTCCATTTAGTCCTAATTGTGGCGCCGTGGGCCCTCGTATTTAGAGTGCAGGAGAGGAAGCAAATAAAGCTATTGAACTTCACGCGGAGACAACGGACTGAAGGTGGTTGAGACACGGGTTGTGACAGGCGATACGAGCGGACCGTGACAGAATAGGTCCCGACAACCGGGGGGGACCTTTGGGTATCTTATAAAAGGTAGATCCTCGAACAAAATTGCGGGAAGAGCAATCTGGGGAAGTAGGGTAAATCAGTAGACATCTTCCATACGGAGCATTCCCGATGTACAGGAGGGAGTGTAAGACCGGCTCCGAACAGTAGTCGATTCTTATTTGATTTCGCCTAGGAACATGTCCGTTGCCAAGCTTTGAGCATGCTACAATTGACAGCACCGGACGGTCCGTGCGCCGTGCTTGAGAGCTGCAACATATTCCATTTACCTATAGTTATCCCTTGTATCGAACAACAACCTTGGATTCTGAACAAACATCTTGCACCACTCAGTCCTGGACAACCATTCCCGCAGCGTAAACAGCTCCGCCTCTACACTTCCTGCCGAGGTCATCTCAGCACCTGTCATTACGTGTGGCCAATCACTTCCCCAAAGAAGACGGTCGGGTGCTTTCTTTGCCAATGCCTGGATGATGCCTTTCATCTGGTGGAAGTCATCAGGGCTGCGACGATATAGAGCACCGATCTTGACATACAGCTTCCCGGACCCCAACATGTCCAGGAAGTCGCCAAACTCAGGACTGTCAATATCAGTCGGCTCAGCGCAGCCATTATGCTCCGCAATGAGGATCACATCGTTCGGTGTGTCGTAATGATCCAGTATAAAAGACTTCAAGGACGCCCAGGCTCGCAACGGAAGCTGAGCCGAAATGGTCCACCCTAACTCTCGTATTCCATAGGAGGCCGACAGTTCTCTCACTTGCTCCAGCACATGCTCCCATCGTTTACTGCTTTCACCGTAGATTCCATGAATGCGAACGCACCGCACGCCAGCGTCATGTAGATAGTCGAACTCTTCTGTTGTCATCTCCAGGATATTTTGGTGGTAGCAGATAGTTCCGCGAATGATAATTGATGGGTATAGATTTTCACATTCTTTTAGATGAGCCAGAAGCCCCGCATGTCCATCCTCTATGGAGGCCTGTACCAGCATCAGTCTATCAGCATGTCTGTGCTTCACCATCGAATCAAGCGACGCTGGTGGAGGGGTGTAGGCGCGGTCGACCTTGAACGGGAAGCGGAGTGGATCAAGGACATGGAGATGACAATCCCATGCATCACAGGGAAGAATGAAATCTGTCATATTTATGTAAGTATTGCTGGTAACGAAATCTTATAGAAATTTGCCAACTCTCCATCACTGTTAGCGAACGTCCATTTGCTCTTAAGTCTAGATCCATGACCGGAAAATACCCGGTCTTTCGCGGAGTGGTATGTACTAGTAATGCGTCTGGCAGCCGAGGAAAACTTTTTCTAAAGCTTTCGAGGGCATAATTGGTCTCTCAGTATTTGATATACTGTCAAGACTCCGGACAATTTCCGGTCCCAACCCTTCTGCGCCTGGCGGAAAGTGCTAATAGTCAGACATATTCACGGAGTAATTCTTTATCCTATTTGTGGACTAAAATGTATTAGGCTCGGCTGCTCGAGCTATGTTCAAGTAATTTTTAAGGTGAAGAGCTTTTATTGTAATAGTAATTAATGATCATAATATAAGAGAATACATTTTGAAAACTCTACTTCCACGAAGATTACTATGTTCGATCCCGTATTCTTTCATAGCAACGTAAAAAATATTAGACTGCTATAACTCTAATCTGCTGGGAATGGTATATCATACCTACAATCCAACTAGAATAAGAAAATGTTATATATCTCGAAACAGCCCAACGCAGCACGTTATGCTTGGAGTTACTGCACTGATAAAATGAAAGAATAATTTAAATGTGCCACTCAAAGTGACCTGCAACACAACATGTAGTATAGCATGACCCCTGTAAGGTCCAGAGACACGAATGAAATACAATGAAACAAGATCTCGTGGAGCCATTATATACGGGAACAGCTCCTGTAAACCAGATGGTGGCACCTGGCTGGACTAACGGGCCTAGTTCAGATCTCAGTCTCCGCAGAAGGAAAGGGGCGTAGCAGCTACTACACGTAGTACTTATACAATATTTAGTGATATTCTGAGAGATACAGAGAAGGAGTCCTCAAACCTATAATATAGTCGACATTATATAAATGAAAAACAATCAATATAATCGAAAAGTAGTTTTAGTTATTTATTTATCTTTAATTTTATCACATTTATCCTGGCTGGTTATAAATGATTTTATCAACTTAAATGATGTAAATAATAATAGGTCGCTATTTAATCTCTATAGTAAGATCAAATTAATATACTTAGTAACTCTAGAATAAGATGTTATCAATATTCTTAGAATTACGCAGAATATATTTATTCTCATTAGTAATTATATTTTTGATATTATTTGAGTCAGTATCTATGCTCACCATTAACAATAAAAGAAATCCCGCAAGATTAGTAATATTCTTTTCCACAGGATCCTTCTATATGTTTATTTCGAATAGATAATATTATGAACAAAGATTATATATCGATTGCATACTATGGAAAGGTAAAGATACCTTTTAAAACAGCATGCCGCGCATAGCTGTGACTGCTCCGCTAAGCTGTAGAGAAACGTGATCAATAACTACAAATAATTAAGTTCCATAGTCTTCTTCCTCTGCAATTCTTTTAGAGTTGAGCACAACTTCCTCAGGAATAGCATAACTGTACTCTCCGTTTGGGTATGTACAATCCATGACCTCATCACGGTACTATCTGATACCATTAAAGACTTCGCCCCATAAATCAGCATGTCACTTAGCAGACTTGGGCAGGAATTGACCTAGGGAATAATTATTCAACATATCAATCTCCAGCACTTGTCTGGAACAACGATTGCCAGCACCAATACCAATCATCATCAGCACACGCAGCTTCTTAGTCACGATGGCTGCAATTTCAGGAGACACGGCCCCAACCACAATCATAGACGCTCCGGCCTCCTGAACCGCCTGCAGGTCCCTCAAGACCTGCAGCACCACCGCCGTTGATTTCCCCTGGACTCGAAACCCGCTAACATGCCTGACAACCGGACTCCGGCCTGTGTGATGCGCTTGATAGTCTGCACCATTTCCTCCCCACCCTCAATTTTGATACTTTGCATGTGGCCTTCCTTCACCATACAAATTACTGATTACACGGGCTGTTCCGGAGTGACCTCATATAACCCATTCAGTAAATCCCCAACCTAGAAGAGAACAGAGCCAAAGACATTCGCAATGCCATAGGTCAACAAACAAGGGGAAGAAAGAAAAACAAACTGTAAAACATAATTCACAGCCCACACCACAGTCGGGCAATACAACATTTCATCCATCATGATCTCACTTGTGTCCTTCAGTCCCAGTGTAACCATGGCCAGACTATCACCCAGCAAGACCATATACATGCCCGCTGCGTCGGCCACATGGCGACTGGGAAAGTCATATGCTGTGAGTATTGTAATTGGGTCGCCCCGCTTATACATGCCCCTGAGGGTCTGCAGTGTCACTTTCTTGTCCTGGGTGGAGGCTGTGACCGCCACTGGCGAAAGAGAAGTATAGCGGACTTCCTGCTGCTGCGACTTTCGGAATGCTTATGGTAATATTCGTGACGAGGTAGAGGAGGAGTCGGGATATCGGCACGTGTGACGGTCAGCTCGGGCGCTAAAGGTGCGGCATACTGAATTGCGGAAGGAAGGGTGCGACAGCAGCAGCAGCAGCGAGCTTGTCAATGCCATAATTGTACCAGACGAAGCAAATTATGGCCAACCTTGAATAGGAAATTCCGTGGATAAGGATGGACTCCGAGGCGCCAAAGTTGGTGAACAAGGCACATTTTCCCTTCCCGGTATGTCCGATACCCTATCCATACTTCGGTGTAAGGCCATTTCATATCCGATTCACGCCACCCTTGCCCTCGTCATAGGATATAAAAAACATCGAATCGCTGAATAGAGAGAGGTTATCACCCTGACTATGGTCATTTTCCTCCCATAAGCCATTGGTGTTACTAAATGCACATCAAAACTATCAACTCTTGTCTGACTCTATGCGAGCGGTCAAAGAAAAGAGTCCCCCCTTGTCTTCACCAGTCATCCACCAAGCTCAGATCTTCAACACACAGCTCCACTAGCTCCTCTGCTCGCATGCAGCCCAATGTGGTACTAGTGGGTGGCTCGTATGCCGGAATGGCCGCCGTCTCAGCCTTACTGGCTTTGAAGGATGGCCAGCCCATTCCGATGGCCCCTTATGCCGACTTTAGCCACCTCAGCGCGGCACCGCGCATAGCCGACCTAAGGATTACAATCATTGACGAGCGAGATGGCTTCTGTATGTTTTGCTCGACCTTTCCTCATGACAGACCTTCCCTACTTACACTATTTCTACTATATAGTTTACACAGTAGGCAGTCCTCTTGCATACTCCTCCCCCGTGCATTCGGCGGCTATGTGGCGCCTGTACCGCGGCTTTCCCACGCTCAATCGACCAGACGTAAATTTTGTGCGAGGCACGGTTGTGCGAGTCAAGCCTCTCAACCAGACATTGGTCTATCAAATCCACAAGGGCGACAGCAGAGTATATCATACGATTACTTGCTGGCCTCGACCGGCATGCGTCGCTCATGGCGATCGTCCCAAAGTCGACCGAAATGCGTGCTTACGTGGATGACGCCGGGAACGCTGCACGGCGTCTGGTCGCGGCCAAAAAGTCTGGCATCGTGATAATTGGAGATGGTGTGTGATGTTTCTCTCTGCTTTCCCTCCCTTCTTCCCACCAATCTGTCTCTCTTGCCCACGATAAGGCGTTGATCGATTGACACCCTCTCTTTTTGTACCGTCACTGATGCTTGAGTTTTGTTTCATCAGGAGCGGTCGAGATTGAGTTTGCAGGCAAGCTCAAATCCCAGTATTCCATGACTCGAGTCACCTTGATCCATGCTCGGGACCATCTTTTGTCCAAAGAACCCGTACCCGTGGAATTCAAGTCACGGGTGCTGCAACTGCTCCGCGAACAAGGTGTGAATGTGATCCTGCAAGAGCGACCGATAGTGGAAGACCTCTCCGATGGTACTTCCTACGTCAAGTTTGACAATGGCGACCGAATACATGCAGCCGTAGTCATAATGGCTGTGGCATCCATCTCTCCTTCGTCCGGGTAGCTACGCTCGTTCGCTTGTCACTGACAAAGGGACCATTATGGCGAATGACCAGTTTGCTTCCCCGAACCCCCAACTCCCCCCTCCTCCTTTCCCCGGGGGGAATCCACTCGCGCACAGCACCCATTCTAATTCTCTGAATTAGACAACAGGTGACGAGTGGCCCTTCCTTATTCGGCCGGATCTACGCCGCCGGAGATCTAGTGCATATAACGGGGATCAAACTCGGGGGCAACGCGATGGTCATGGGCAGCGTGGCAGCAGCAAACATCTACTCCTCCCTCTTGTCCAACCCGAGACGAAGAACATGTCCCCCGTTTTCCGCGCACATGGCGATTTCCATAGGCCAATCCATGGCACTATGGAGGGGCGGAGCCAACTCAGAATTATACCATGGCGAAGCCCTGGCTGAATCATTTTTCGGCCACGATCTCGGCTGGCAGAGTAAGTCTTGCCGCTTGACGCTTCTCCTTAATCTTCCCCCTGTTATCTATCCCTCGATTGAATTTTTTATTCGGCTGCTGACACAATTCGATTTTCTCTTCTGTTGTCTTCAATCAGGAATCCTCAACTCCTTGGCTCTGGAGGATTATGAACACCCTAGAAGTGAGAACCAGGGAGATTCCCTGCGGCAAGAATAATGAAAAAAAAAAAAAAAAAAAGGAAGAAGGGGGGGAGGGGGGGAGGAGAGAATAAAGAAAGCGCAATAAGTAGGATCGAAGTAATATTCGGACGAGCAGAAGCTTTCATCTATCCAAACTCGGGGAGAAAGACAGCGCTCGGATTCCTTTCTTCCTTTTCCCCTTTTGAGGCACACTTACGATCTTATTTGACGGTAAAACACACCCCGTACGGTTCTATCTCTTTACTCAAGGAGGCGAATCTGATCCGAAGGATTCTGGCTCCTAATCCCCATCATACATGTAAATATCGGACAAAACCGTAAGATATCAAGGCACGTGACTGTAATCGGAGATAGGCGCGCAAAAAGCATGAATTGCTCGCCGTCTTCACTATCAACTCTCCTCCCTGCGTTGTAGCGATCGGATCAAAATTTTACCTCTGCTTTCTCTCCTTCTTTGTTTGCTCGTTTGATTCCGTTAGAATTGGCCATGCCACTCCATCGGAAGTGGGTTATATTCTCAATTGCCCTGGTTCTGGGCGTATTCCACCTTGGTCACGCGTTAGGGTTACTGATTCAGTTGGCTTGGAGGTCTAGTAATTCTCCTTTTTTCTTTTTGCCCCTTTCTCCCAGGAGGTAAGTAGTCTGAGTATGTGCAATTATATTTAGATGTATTTATATGACATATGATCTTTGCTAGCCTTTAATGTGTATATCCTACTTGACAGAAGACCTGAGCTCAAATAGTATCATGATCTAATGATAATGTCGGTTTCCTCTCAGAGCTCACACGGTAGCCTTCTTCTTCAATGCGGTTGTCGGAAAGAAAAGAATAAAAGCTAATTGGGATCAATAAAGCGGCGAGGGAGGAAAATAGAATATAAATATTTGGAGGGTGTGTCTGTCTCGCAGTACCTCACTGGCCTTAAAACTAACGTACAGAGTGTAGAACCGCTCTTCTCTTTTTTCCTTTTTACAATATTTTCTTTTTCTTTTTCTTTCTTCTGTCCCGGTTTGAACAAGCTATTCATGGCTCAAATCACGGTTGTATCAGTGGCATCGGGAGATGGGTTGATAATACCGTCCCAAAAGGTCTAGACCCCAAGAGAAGGGAAGAACAACAGAAAAAGTTTGTAAGAGATTGACCTTGATAATGGTTGGATACCGTTCGGCGAAGACTGACTTACCCAATCAACGGATTCTGGATTGTCCCACTGCACTTTCTCAATCCAATCGTCCAAGACGTTGGAAAATTCAAGGCCGGCGGCATTGGACCATCGAAACTCCTTCGGCCGTAGTAGCATCCTTGATCGACCATCAGTGAAAGGTTGAATATACGGGAAGGAGGGGTTTTTTTTCTTTCTTTCTGGCTGCCTTACTGTAGATGGCGAAGAATGGGAAATGACTTGATGCAGATGGGACTGCGACTCTGCAGTTGCTCGATGCGGGCGACAGCCGCATCAAAAGAATTTCGGTGAGTGGCATGATCGAAAGCCGGGTCAAGGTTTTCAAACATACACGAGGCCAGGGCGACGGCGCCGTGGAAGGCATAGAAACTGGTCACGCCGTAGACCACCCAGCGATAGCGCCGGAGCCGTGGTCGCTCGCAGAGCTGCTGATGAATATCCAGCAGTGCCGCACCCGCAGCCACACATTTAGCGCGAGACTGGGCACGAAGTGCTTCTGCCACGTCGGCATCGGACTGACCGCGGCAGAAGGGGCGATGCAGACGAAGATACAGCTGGTGCGCATACAGCTGCAAGATGCACCAGTACCCGTATTGTCGGGTATCCAGCACACTAGGGAGGCCGTCCGATAGAAAGGCAGAATCCCAGAGACGCTGTTCAATTCCTATCTGAACATCGAAGTCGGTCAGCATCTCACCATTGAGCGGCTGATCACGGGACAAGTGCCGGCAAATCTGTCGCGAAAGTTGGAATAAGCGGAGTTTAAATGTCATCACAGACTTCGCTTGCAGGTCAGAATCGTGTACGTCCACGGTGAAGGCAGAGTCAGGACTAGTGTTGGCGCTCAATAGGAAAGACATATCAACGCCCTTATAGGAGATCGCTTGATTGGTGTACAACAGCAAAATTCCGGTCCAGCAACGACGGCGACGATTGATCTCGATCTGGCCCGGGCTAGAAGCGGGATAGTCGAATAAGGTATTGCATTCTAAAGCGATTGCCATATGCAAGGCCATCCCTATGGAGTAGCAAGGAGTTAAATCATGGAAGACCCTTGTAGCGACAAGCACGCGGTAATTACTAACCCAGTAGATTCCAACTGCGTTCCAAGCCCTCGTAGTGATTGACCGTGTAGATCAACAATAACAGAGCCTCCAGAGTGCTGAGACGATTATTGACCAGACAATTATCTGCTGACAGACAGGTCATGGCAGCTGTGCGGTAGCGGAGGTAGATATCGCTTGTTTGATTGACCGAAGCGGCAGAGGAGTAGGAGAGAGCAAGGACTGTATCTTCATCGTCCAGCGAACGAATGGTAAGAGAGCAGATGGTAAACAGAAGAGCCAACCATGAGAATCCAGATTGAGATGGATTGCGCAGATAAGCATTATACTGCTGCTGAAAAGTGGGACCGTGCAGGATATGAAACAAAGGGGAGATATACATGAAGTAATGGGTGATGAGATATTCACAGCATGAATGAGCGGGAAGCAGCTTAAGCAGATCCTTTACAGTGACCTCGGGGCCAGAAGGGAAAGGAAAACAAAGGTTTGCTGATGGCAAAAAGGTTTCATCGTCGGGGGCTGTGGGATGTGCCGTGGGGGCGATAGGGCGGTTCGACACGGCATCCCAGTGGTCCTGGAATAGATTGTGATTTTTACCATAAGGCACTGTGGAACTAATCGATGAATGCGGGTAAGGGGCGACGCCAGGAGATATGGCGGTGGTAGGGGAGCTAGGTGTAGCAGCAGCAGCAGCATGACGAGGAGGAGGAGCAGGAGGAGAAGGCAAGAGGGAGGGGGGTTGTTGTTGTCTGTCACCAAAGACACACCAATCCACACATTTTCTCCGCCTACACGGGCTACAGGGCTGCTGACGATCGCAGCGAATCTTTGAGCGTCGACACGGCTCGCAATTTAAAGGTTTCCGAGGTTGTCGAGGCCGCACTAAGGGTGTTGAAGAAGGCGTCATGCTAGCTAGATTTGACCTATGCTAGATCGGAGATTGTTGAAGTGTAAATTTGGGGGAGGGAAGTTTAGCTACAGGAACCAGTTAACCAGCACCCTGTCTCAGAATGGATCGGAGAATCATAAGTTAGTTAAATAATTTTATAAGATTACTAAGTTGGTCAGGCGGCTCTTCTCGTCCAATCTAATGACTTGTTCCGGCGGCAAACAGAAGTAACAGTTTTGGCGCATGGACTCGTTTCCGATCCGGCCTCCTCCGACTAGATGTAACGGGATGACAATGGCCGGCAACGGGCCACTATGGCACGACCGATGGAACCGATATCCCCAGGCCCGCGAATACATGCCGGTCGTCCTACCGCTCCTCGCCCGGACAACCTGCAAACGAAGAAAATGTCGCGTTAGTTTCATAATGTTGAGCACTGCACTCGTGGAAGGATTCTGTAATGGTCGGATAGATAGATACCTCTGAATAGATCCGGTCAATCAGCTTTTTGCACATCCCTCGAGGCTCGAGCATCTCAACGCTTTGATGGGGAGGCGAATGCGATAGCGAGTCCTTGATTTCACTCCACGCTTCCTTAACCATTAATTGCAACTCAGGGCTGAAACGAACAGTTGTGACCAGAGAATCCATCACAAATGTGCCTGGAGAAGGAAGGGAAGAAGTAAGGTATTGATAATAAAAGCTGTTTACTGACTGTTGATACATTTGATCCTGGCTGCATCATATTTGATACTATATTCATAGAACAGAAATTATCCTTTATATGTGTAATACAGCTCCGTTACATGTCCATTACATCTCCGTTACATCTCCGTTGTTTCGGAGATGAACTGGAGTCAAACTTTTCATTCCCGCTAGAGGCTGACATGGCATGTACTTAAAAGATATGAATGAAAATATCAAAAGAGAGACAGTGTGACTGTTTCTGGGAATTCAGAGTGGCCAAAATTCACTCCTTGCTGTATTGTAATAGACCAAAACCCAAGTTCCAAAATGATTACTTCAATTAGGCTTTCCAATACAGCACCGATATATATCCGAAACATTGAACAATTGTGGCCACAAAGTTTCATTTTCCATCAAAAGGCAGTAACTGGGTATGGACAAAGCGGACCAGCTACATGTGACTCGCTTTATGTACTCGCCCATTGATAATGATAACATCCAGCTTGCTGTGGTCCTGTAGGAGTGTAATATCCTCCAGTGGGTCCCCATTCACCAACACGCAGTCTGCATAGTTGCCCTCGCGGATTTGTCCCATCTCATGCGCGCGCATGAATAATTTGGCCATGCCATAGGTCGCTGCAATAAGAGCTTCATGCGGAGTGAACCCCAACAGATTGACAAAGTGAGCGAGATCCCGCGCATACGTGCCGTGAGGCGTCCATGCAAACCCGTAGTCGCCCCCGGGGAGGACGACGATGCCACGGCGATGCATTTCTCGCAAGGCTCGAATGGCAGTCTCCATCTCCTTCTGATAGCCGACCTTTTCAGCTTTCTCAGTAGTGTAGCCATACATACCTGCATCGTGAAGCGTAGCAACAAGCCAGTTGATGGCCGGTGCTATAACATGGCGAGATTTGTGTTTCTCGAGCAAGTTCATCCCTAGATCGGAGGGACAGTCAGACAGTTATATAGTCCCCATTTGGTAAGAAAAAAAACAACTAACGGCGTGGTCTTACCTCGTTCATCAATAAAGGAAGCGTGATAAATGACATCGACTCCCCACTCGATGCTCTGAATAATAGATTCCCGAGCCCGGGCGTGGGAGCAGACCCTCTTTCCCCACCGGTGGGCCTCCTCCACGGAGGCCCGTGTTTCTTCTGGGGTAAAATAACAGACCTCTGCATCCCTTGTCTCGGTGATCGATTCTCCAGACATGGAGAGTTTAACTTGATCCACCCCCAGGTCAATATGCTCACGGACTCTGAAGACTAAGAGTTAGTGAGCAGATTATACAGAACTGATCATGTATGAATCTTACACCTGTTTCATTTCATCCGGTCCATCGGCATATGCTGTAATCCCGGTTACCAGCTCACCTCCTGTTCGTGCAATCTCACGCCCGTTCGCCAGAAACCGAGGACCCGGGATAATGCCAGCGTTGATGGCATCACGGATGACTATGTCGAGGTTCTTTTTCGCAGATGCTGCACCAAAGCACATGGTATACCCAGAGTCAAGAAAGCATTTCGCACTCCGGGCTGTCAGCAGTGTATGTTCTTCAATGCCTAGTTCGGCCAGGTGCTCAAGGTTCCCCCCGTTCCAGGTGAAGTGTGTATGTGCATCGCCTAAACCGGGAATGAGCATCCGTCCGTTGCCGTTAAAGACTCGAACGGTGCCACTAGCAAGCAACTCCGCTTTATTGGGGACCTCTCCGACGTGCACGAATCGCGTTCCTAGTCACAAGGATTAGTCACTTACAGATGCACCGAAATAGATTAATGCATATGTACCATTGATCAAAATGTCCCCGTGGTAGGGAGGTCGGCCAGTTGCTTCGAGGATTCGAATGTCTAAGATAAGAATACTCGAATTAAGAGGAGTGCCCTGAATTTCCTGGTGCACCGGCTGTAATGAAGGATCGAAGTTCAATTGGTCGATATAAGCTATATTGCGAGGAGGTCCCCTATATGTCTTCGAATGGAGCTCCTGGGACATTGACAATGGCTCCTCGATAGTGGTTGTTGTAGACATGGTTGCTAGAAGAGTAATGAACAAAGGCATGTAAAGTCAAGTCAGGGGCGCTGAAGTCGTGAGATTCAGGAATTGAGAACATTTTGGAGCCATATTTAAGTCCTACCTGACCTCAACCCCGCAAAGCCCAGTCTTATGACCCCCGCACTTCTCAACATCTCCTCGCCACATCTCCGCGAGTCTCGGCATAAGTAGGGCCTCTTCGGCCCTTGGATCCGTTTATCTTGTCATCCGGTCTCTCCTACACCTCAAGTTCCATCCTTGACAGCCTAAGGCTTTCCCCGCACTGAGAATGGGCTGGTTCTCCGTCCGCGTCATCCCTCGCAGGCAGCGCGATATAGAGCCAGAACATGATCCTTTGAAACCAGCATCTGAATGTGTTGAGTATATCGAACCGGCCCCCACAAGCCATTTTCCAATTCAGGATTCATCGGTTCCCGATGAAGATCTACCAATCATTTCAGCAGCTTGTGTTCATCAACAGCGGATGACCCAGGACTTGAGACGAAAACGCTACTGGATCGTGGTGGACAACATTGTCTACGACTGCACGGACTATCTTGACGAGCACCCCGGAGGAAGCACAGTCATCCGAAGTTTTGTAGGGGAAGACTGTTCCTGGCAATTCTGGCGTTTTCATTCAGCGGCCATTATGAAGACTTGGGGACGGAGGCTACGGGTTGGGAAAACGAAGGAGGTGCATGTTCGGTACAAAGAGCCCCCACGCTTTGTCGGAGGGTCTCAAGAACCCTGACACATGATTCGGGATAATCGGAGTTCACATCACCCATGCCCTTGTGCTTCTCCGAGGTGTAATCCAATCAATTCATCCCCAGCGGAGATATACCCCGTATACCCCGCATCCGGGAACGGAGATAGTAGACTGTGGTTCACCGTGACGATCCCCCGCACGAGACGGAGCATGTTACATATAAAGCGAAGACTTGTCTTCTTCCTTTCACCTCAACATGATCAAATATCCTTATGCTTCATATTCTCCTGTAGGATCAAATAATTAGTCACCATGACTTCAAACGTCAACTATGCAGCCTACCTTGATCCCAGCACGGAGAATCCTCGCATCGGTCATTTAGACCTCGAGACTGCGACTATCACCCCTCTCTCCTTCCGATCTGGTGCTCCCCTGGCCAATCTCTATCAGGTCATTGAAGCGGGAGTACCTCATATTGCCCCGTTTCCCGACGAAGAGCCCTTGCCTCTCTCGCGCGTCAAGCTCTTGCCCCCATTGTCCGGCCGAGATGTGCTGGCAGTGGGAAAGAACTACGCCGAACATGCACGAGAATTCAACGCCTCAGGGTACGATGCGAGTGACAAGGTTGACCAGCCTACGCATCCGGTGATCTTCACCAAGCGAGCGACATCCATCATCGCCAGCGGTGACCCTATCTGGCCACACCCCTCCTTTACCAGCACCGTCGACTACGAAGGTGAAATTGGGGTCATCATCGGCAAGAATGGCTTCCAAGTTTCCGAGTCCACCGCTATGGATTACGTCTGGGGTTATACAATCATCAACGACATGACGGCCCGGGAACGCCAGCGTGACCATAAGCAATTCTTCTTGGGCAAGTCACCCGATACCTTCTGTCCAATGGGGCCCATCGCTGTCCCTGCCGACGCTCTTCCCGCCAAACTCACTCTTCAGACCTACGTCAACGGGGAAAAGCGGCAGGAGGCCTCCCTGTCTGAGCTGATATTCAGCATACCGCGCCTCATTGCTAGTATCAGTTCCGCGCAGACCATCCAGGTCGGGGATGTCCTAGCCACAGGCACTCCGGCCGGTGTCGGCTTTGGATTCCGGCCCATGAAGTTTCTACAGCCCGGGGATGAGGTTGCCGTCAGTGTGACCGGCCTGGGAACCTTGACTAACCGCATCGCTGATCCGAGCGTGGGCCATCCTTACCGCACACCAGTGGACTCGGCCACCCACGTACACATTCCAACCGCAAACCAGAAGGCACCAGCCAATGTCGGCCTCACTCTGCTCAACAGTAAGCCTTTATTCTACCAACGCGTTGGCAATCTGGACGGCGATTCAGTCCTCTTCATCCACGGCCTGGGGGCCTCATCTGCCTACTTTTACCCTCTAGTCGCCCGGCTACAAGCGACTCACTGTCTCCATCTGTTGGACCTCGAAGGACACGGGCTATCCCCAACAAGTGCACTGAACGATTTAACTGTGCAATCGTTCTCGAACGACGTGTACAGTATAATACGGGAGTTCGGGCTGCTCGAGGCTAAGATCACCGTCGTGGCGCATTCCCTAGGTGCGCTGATTGCATTAGCCTTGGTGCAGGACCATCCCGACATCTCTCTCGAGCAACTCATCCTGATGGGCCCGCCGCCACATCCTCTCCCGTCGACTGCAGTACAGGCGACTCTGGCACGGGCAGGCCTGGTACGAGCGCGGGGCATGGCGGCCGTGGTGGACGCCATCGTGGCGGGCGGCACGTCACGCAATACACAAAAGGAGAAACCGGAAGCAATCGCGGCTATTCGCATGTCATTACTGGGACAAGACTCGGTAGGATACGCCAAGGCATGTGTGGCGCTGGCGCGGTCAGGTGAACGCCCGTTGTTCGATCCGAAAAATATCAAATGCCCCGTTCGGCTCATCACCGGCGCGGAGGATGCTGTTAGTTCACTGGCCACTTGTCAGGAGATTTATATAGCGCGTCTTACAGACGTGCAGCTGACACTGCTAGAAAATGTGGGCCACTGGCATCTGCTGGAAAATCCACAGATGTGTGTGGCAGCAGTTTCAAATCTCTTGAATATAGACGGGTGAGGGGACAGATTGCACGTTTACAAACCTGTAATATTCTGAACACAATTTGTAAAGTTCCAAGTTGTTGTTAGTATATTGAGATGGGCCATAATGGGATCTTGGGCAGTAGTATTATCCTCTTAGTTTCTACCCTTATTGCTATTAGTCATGATATTGCTTCAGCCCCTATTTAATCGGAACTATGAGGATATTTGTAATGATGAAGGAGCGAATCCTGTACTAATATATAGTTAATACTTAACCGCTTTGTCAATGTAAACATGCTTACTATCCTGAGAAGTATTTCTGCTTGTACTATTATGTGGCATATCTGAAGTTGTTGCAACTATGCATGGTGATTTAGAATTAGAACACAGCGAAATAGAGTAATCTGAGGAGCCAGGTAAATCAGAAAAGCTAGTGGAAACACTAAAATGGAAATGTTAATGTTTATTTCTCTCCGTTGAAGGTCCATAACCGTGTCAAGGATTAGGATTAGCAAGATATTATTGCCTGCTACCCCAGCAAGACATAGTACTAATAAAATTTCTCCTTAAACTCTATCCATCAACTTTCAACCACTGCCAGCCTGCTTGGTGGCCTTGGTGTAAATTTTTATAATTAAATACATGAAACCATATGTGGTGATGACGAACAGGGCTATGATTCCAGACTCCATTGTAAAATTAGTCTGAGGTGAAGCATATTTATACTGGAAAGCTGTGATAAAAGAAGTAGTAATAGAAAGGGAGAGAAAAACATACACTATACCAGCCATAGTTTATTAAAAAAAAATGCAGATATTAGTTGAACCACAAAACCTGTTTCTAGACTTTGACCTTTTAAATATAATATAGATCCAGCTCTCAGGATTTCAGTATCAATTTCTATATCAGTCTTTGAAATTAGTTAGAGAATAGTCTAATAATTCTTATTAAATATAATATTATCTGAATTATTAATTCAATAAAAATTATTAGAGACTTAGAGTATAATATAATGATTTAGAATCTGATAATTCAGGATATGATTCATAATCAATAAATCATAATATTAGTAAAAAATGTTTTAAAATAATTAATTAATTAATCAATAGCCTGGACAGGTGAATTATAAATTATCTTGTAATTAGTAAGATTATGATATATATATATATAAATATAATTTCTGTAGAAACTATAAGATGTAATAATATAATTATTAATCTAGTATAATCTATTAATCCAAAATACAAAATCTAGAATTTAATCTATAAAGAATGAATCATGATATTAAAAAAATTATTATTAAAAAATAAAATAATATCTTAATAATCCAGCCGGAGTAGTGATAGATTATTAGAAATATATAAACTAATAGTACTTCTGCTATAGCTAACAGTTGTTTTATAACTAAATTTTAGGAAAAATAATCATTATTTATATTATTATTAATTATATATGAGAAAATATATATCTTTATATTTCTTGAGAACAAGAAATGTTAAAAGAATATTCTTATAAGTTTATTCTTAGTAAGTCTTTCTAAATCTTCACAGGTAAGTCTTTTTATCAAGTAATAGAGGCTAACCCTGAACCAAGTCTAGCTACTTAAAGCTTGAAGCTTGAACAGATGAATAGCTGATCCCATAAAGCTTACCCGGCTTGTCTATTTACTATATTTAGTAAGAATGCTACTGCCCACTTTACTATTTATTTTCTATAAATATTATAAACATTTAAAAAATGATTATTATAATATAAATTTAGTAGTCCTATAGAGAAACAAAATAATAAAGTATATAAAGAAAATAAAGAATTTCTAATAGAATAATGATTATAATATAAGCTCAGCAGCTTTATGAAGAAATAAAATAATAAAATATATTAAAAGATTAAAAGGCTTTTAATACCATGAAATTATAAAGATTAAAAAGAATAATTATAATATAAGTTCAGTAGTCCTATAAAGAAATACAATAATAAAATATACTAAAAAAATGAAGATTTTTTCGTATTATAATAATTATTATTATTTATTGTACTATCTATTATCTCAGCGAGATCACGGAGACTAAAATATAATAATAAGATTATTTTTTTTCTTATATTTTTCTTATTTCCATTTTATTGATTATATAGACAGATAAGAAGGTAAGATATATTAAGAAAGGTAATATTATAAATAAATATATTATTAGTTTACTTATTAATCTCTATATTTTTATAGAAAAAAAATTACTTAAATATAAGAACTGTAATAAGATTATTCATTGTAATAATATTTAATAATAATAATATATAGTTGAAGCTTTTTAATAGATATAAGAATCTTAACATTCATAGTATACTAATACCTAGAGTGGTTATACCTGACCGTTATACCTTAACCTAACCTTAACTGTAACCTGATGGTTAGGTTAAGGTATAAGAATCCTCTTAACTATACAGTTAAAAATAAGTTAAGATTAAGAGATTATTTTAACTGATCTTAATTATAGGTTAGAAAGATCAGATATACTTAGAAGATTAATAATTATAAATTAATTAATAATTTATACAGAGATTTTACAGAAATAATATATTAGTAGTAATATATTTTTAATTACTATATTATTAGAACAGATATTAATTAGATTAATTATTAATTAATAATTTTATTTTTTAGTTAATAATAACAGCTAGTAGCTAGCAGTCCAGTAGCCTAGTAACTCCCGTGTTAGACTTATACAGATAATACTAGAAATCTGAATATAATTAAATTAAATTATTAAAGAGAAATATATAAATTACTATCTAAGTTATTTTTTATATTATCCTGGTCGGTGGTCATGATAGTAAAAAAATTATATAATTTAAGTATTTATCTATACCTGAGTACATGTGATATTATTAAATTAAAAAAAAACTTAATTCTTTTTTTAATAATATTTTATTTTTAAAATTATTATTAAGATTGTCTATATCCTCATTCTTACTAATATAAAAGATTATTATAAACTTATTATCTTTTTAATCCTCAGCTGTAAATATAATAGAATCTAGAAAAAGATTATTAGAAATATTCTGATATTTTTTAATAATAATAAAATAATCAGTATATATCTAGAATATAAGAGCTTTAATAATCTCAGGATACAGGTAGTTTTAGTAATAATAATAAATATTCTAAGAATTATTAAAAAAATATTTAATATTAATATTATTAATTATAACAGTTAGAAAGTCCTTAACTATGTAATAGAGAATTAGAAACTGATTATAACAGAATTTCTAGTAAATAAGAATATCAGAATATCTAGTAATTTCTAGATAATTATTAATATAAATATAATTTTAGAAATAATTAATTTATTTATCTAGTCTTTAATAATTTATATATTTTTAATATTAAGATAAATCTTGAAATACTTAAATATTATTATAAAAAATAAGAGCTTCTAGTACTTTAAAATATTATAAAAAATCTTATCCAGACCCGAGTATGCTAGAAACTGTAAATAATATATTAATAATAAAAATAAAAATTTTTTTAAAGATAATTTAATATTTAAAATATTAATTAATATTATTATCTAGCCAGGTATTTTTCTTGAATTTTTTAAATTTTAATATAAAATCTAGAACTATTATAATTATATAAATATAATCTTTAACCTAGTAAATTTAATAATAATATTTATAAAATTTTTAATATATATTTTCTAAATATTAGAGAATCTTTTTTTCTAGAATATCTACTTCCATGCTAGCTAATTAATAAACTAGTTAAGATAATTAAAGAAGTTATTATAAATATTATAAATCTTATAAATTATAGATCTACTGTTCTCTGACAGGCAGGAAATAAAAAAATATATATATATATATAAAAATTTAAATAAATATTCTAACTACTTTTATTATATCATAATAAGATAAAGATAATTAATATTATTATAATTCTAGTATTAGATAAAGTTCTTAATAATTAAATATAATTTAATTGTATAATAAATTATAAGATAGATTGAGTTCTATCAGATTTTATAATTAAAAAAAAGATAATATATTAAAATAAATCTTAATTATTAAATAAGCTGAAACTTCTCATGGTATTAGAAATTTGTATTTATAAAATATATAATTTTTTAAATCTATAATTCAGAATTAGAAAAGTAGATAAGAAATATTAAATAAATTATAAAAATCATTTATAAATATTTTTTATATATAATTTTATTATATATCTTTTTATTTTTTAGAAGATATTAAAAGAGATCTTCAGTTTTTTATTATTATTTTTTATATATATTTAACAGTTCTATTAGCAGCCTCAATTCAGAGTTTCTAAAGAAAAATATTAATAAAAAACTGAATAATATAAGCTAGATAAAAAATATAATACTAGTTTTAAATAATTTTTATAAAATTAAAATTTATTATAATATTATAAAAATAAATATTCTAGTTAAGTTAAGTCTTGAGTTCTGATATAATAATATTAAATATAATATTATTATTACTAATATTATTAGTGGTCATCTTTAATAACTAATAAATAAGATAATATTTTTATAAAATCTTTAAAATAATCTTAGTTAAATTCTTACTAGTATAAGATCCAGCTACTAGTTAGAAGTTTAATAAAACTTTATAATAATTTATATTCTTTGTCAGAAAGTATCCAGTTAAAATAAAAATATTTTTTAATTTAAATTAATATAATAATTAATTATAATTAACATATATTTATTATTTAAAAATTTTAATAATAATTAAATATATATTTTTTTAATAATTTTAAGAAACATTCTTTAATCTATATTTAATAAAGAAAAATAAAAATTTAGAAAAATATTGAAATGATAAAATTAATTATTTATTTAAATTAAATATATTTAATAGTATAAAACAGTAGGCGGCAGATAATAAAAAATATAATATTTAATTAAAAAATTATTTTTATTATAGATAGTAAGAGTCTAGAAATAATATAATAAATATTAATAATATTAATTTACTAGAAAACTCAGGAATTTTATCTAAGAATAAGATTCTAAGATTAATATCTATAAAAATATTATTAGTAATTATATATGTAATAATTCTTTATCTAATATTTATTTAATAATATATATAAAAATATACTGAAATACTTATTTTTTATCATTCTTATAAAAATAATAATTTATAAAATTAATCCCGGAATTATTAACTGCTGGATACTATAAAATATATAAATATATAATATAAGAAATATAAAGAATTTTATTAAGAAATAATATATCTTTTTAAAAATAAGTTTATACTATTACTGTTTTTTCTTAATTAAAGTAGAAGAATGGCTTCTAGTTTTATATATAAATTTAATTAAAAAATAATTATCTGTTATTAGTCTTAAAAAATAAAGATTTTTTTTAAGAAAGCTGGATATAAAATAATTTTCTAATATTTTATAATATATTTAATATTAAGATTTAAAAAGAATAATATAAGTTAAAAAATTATTCTCTATCCAGATATTATCATGATTTATAAAAATCTATAGAATAAAAAAAAAGTTTAATAATATTCTTTAAAAATAGATTTTATAATTATAATTAATTTATAATAGGTTATCTATTTATACAAGTAATTAAAAAAATAAAAAATAAGAAAAATTTAATTAGTCTAGTATTATTTTATTTCTAAAAATATATATTAATATAAATGTAATTTATTATATTTATATATATTAAAAATATCTTATAATAATAAGCTTTTCTCAAAAGCATTTTCTAATTTTTTATAAATAAGATTTTACAGTATCTAGCAACTGTTATATAGAATATTTCTAATATAATAAATAATCAGGTTTTATCTAGTAATATAAATAGGAGTTCTATAGAGATATTCTATAATTATTATAATAATTATTATTAATAGAATCTGTAAAAGTCTTTTATAAATCTTAATAAATATTATTTAAAATGTTTATATTTATAGTTATTAAAAATATAAGTTTCTAAATAAACTGAATAAATAAAATAGCATGGAATATTATAATTTAATAATATAAATAATTTATAATATTTAAATCTATTATTAATACTTAGAAGCTTTTTAAATCTATAAAAAATAGTAAGTATATTTATTATTATCTAGAATAATTTTTAGAGAGATTTACTAGCCAGGAAAAAATAGTTTCAAAAATATTTATAATTTATAAATAATATATAATTAAAATAGAATTATAAATATATATATTTATTATTATTTTATACTGTAAGAGCAGTTTTTTTCTAAAAATCTAATTTAAATTATTATCTGAGATAATTTAAGATTAAATAATTAAAGATAAAATAAAATATATTATTTTTTTTTCTGATTATCTTTGAAATCAAGAAGATTAATCTTATATTAATTATTAAAAAAATATAAATAATTAAGATAGATAATTATTAATCTAAGTATATCTTATCTATGTTAAGATTTAAAAAAGTATAATAAATAGATCTTAGTATCAAGAATAATTAAAATAATTAACTATTCTATTTTTAGCTGTTCTGTGGTTATATATTAGAAAATCTTATATTAAACTATTAATCTGATGGCAGGTATAAATTTTTCCATTAACCTATCCTATTCTGGCTGTTAACCACTCTAACTAATACCTGTGATATAGTTTTAAAGATATAATTTATTTATAAAGAAATATAAACTTTGAATATAAAATAATTCAAAACTTTGATATATATAAATAGATATGATCTATTATTATTCTGATATTTGGTTTGATAATATTTAATAGATCAAATTAGGCTTAGTATCTATAAAAAAATTTGTTCAAGTTAAATTTTTATTATATATTTATCTAACTATATATATTAACTAAATTTAAATGAATATTATTCATTTCAAATACTTATAACTATACAGGATAATTAATTGAAAGAATAAAAATTATATTATTATATTCTGTATACTAAGTATTATTAAATAATATTAATTTTAAATTTGTTAGATATTATTTAAGTGTTGTCCTGTTGTGAAGATTTTTCTACTAGAAAAGTATTAAAGTATCTCTCAACTAGGTTTAAAACCTAATATAAAATTAAATAGAATAGATAAAAATATTTAAAAACTAGTACTGAAATCCTGGGTGCTAGATTTATATTATACTAGAAATTTAAAATCTAGAACCAGTTTTTGTGGTATAACCAATACCTGAATTTTCCTTATTAGAAATCTGTCTATAATACTAACAAAGACAGCCATTTCGTGTACACCATATTAGCGTGTAATATTGAAGCTTTTTAAGTTAGGCACCAATACTGGAAGCCGAAAGTCGGGCCTTCTTAGTAGCTGGCTGATCTTCAAATGACTAAGTAACTGTTGGAAGTCTGCTAGCTGCGGTACAGCTGAAGGAGACACAATAGACATTATCTCAACTGTGTGTAATCCGGACTGCGTCAAACGATCTATAAGCTCTACCTAAACTGTGGTAGGGATGTACTTCCAATTGTTTTGCAGGCCGTCACAAGGAACAACCTCCACAATGCGTACGCTAGCTGGAGACAAGTTAATTCTCATTCTTCATAGATGTCCTGTGGTGTGCAATTTCTGGCTTTGAAGAAACTTGTGACTAGAGTGCAGGCTCCTCATCTCTCACACTATGCAGACGCCCTTATATGATAGTAGGCCCACATCAACAGGAGCGCTTCAGCATGTTCGCTGATCGTGTTTGCCACTGCTATCGAATTAATAAAACCTTAAATGCCGATTTTCCTTCTTTCAGCCTCTGCAGTTCACCCAAAGTGGTAGGTGTATAGCCGAATAGCGTCATTGGTTGATTTGTATCAACTCGGTTTTCAGTATGAAAGCGTCAATACCTTCCAATAATCTGCAAATAGCGAACTGTAAGGGACAATCCAGTTTAAGTAATAGCCTCGGCTGTGCTGCCCATACACTAAGCATAATCATATAAAATACCAGATATATCTTGGTGCATCTTCGTCACGCTCCTGGTACATGTCTGTAAATGAAATGGGCTGTATTGTATGTAAGGATTCAGATAAGGAACTTAATTATATAAGGCGGTCTATTTCTTCCCAAACCTTGGCCACAAGTGACACAGAACGGAAGTACTTTGACATGTACAACTATATTATCGGAGTCGTCTGGTGTTACCGTCAACTACGTGAAAAAAGCCTAAGTTAGGGCTTTCAGCATATCTTCTGTAAATGCTCAGTCTACTATGCTAAAATTGCTGCACTATGTTACTTTACGAAAAGATAGAATAACATGACGCATCCATGTCGGAAACGAAAGCTTGTCCAATGCTGTTCGGGGGCAACAGACACAAAGATTAAGAAGGCCAATGCGTAAAACTATTTGCCACTACAGCTACTATCTTGCGCTTGTTAAATAGGAGAGCTATTACCCTTATTTTGAATTACGGAAACGGGATCTGTGGATGACAAAGCATCCTCATCTTCCGTCATTCTTGGAATAATTTCACCCTAGGGGGAAACTCATGCATGAAACCGACAAATAGTTAGTCGAATTGCACAGCTGGCATAACTTAGCTACGGATGCACTGCGTTCGTGACTATGCAGGCATGTCTGTCTTTTTGTACGCAAGGGAAAGTTAGTAGAAGCTCAGTCCATGCCAATGAAACCCTCGTCTGATCACAATAGTAGTACATATCTCACGTACTTACAACTTTGTACCAAGCTTTGTCGACGATTAAATGAACAGCTACTGGAGCTAAGTAGCACTCGTGCCCAAGACATGCTATAATATTGAGTTACTTCGCCAGACACAGTAACAATTGGAGAAAGCTTTGGTTGACTGCTCCTACTTTCCGAAAAAAAATTATCCCTATCATACCGAGAGCGCAAATTCTAAGATTTTCATTGCAAGCCTGTTAAGCAGACAGCAATCTCGAACTGTATAGCCTATCTTAACCAACGCTCTCTGCATGAATCGCGCATGGATCGCTTCTTTCCTGATAATATGCACCAAAACCTTATGCCATTGTTCCTCTTGCACCAAGTACTTCTGTCGCCTAACAATGAGGCGATTCGACGGTTCTTTTCCATGTTAGAGTCCAGAGTTGCCGGACGCCCTTTCCGCCATCACCTGTAAGCAATATGAAGTAAAATGTGGGTATTATACTTACTTCCACCTCTAAAACATTGACAGTCTGCAGCTTCAGGACATCACCATTAAGCCATACCTTTCTTTCCTGGACTGTGCCCAGCCAATCAGGGTAGGAAGAGACCTCTATGTTGTGTCTTAGGTATAAGCCATCAGCCTGTTCGTGAATTTCAAACCGTCCGGCGTATGCAAGAAAGTGTTTCATTGCCACGCCTAACTCATCATTTGGCGCCTCGAGAAACCCGTTTGTTGCGCAGCGAGGTGCTCCAGGTTTCATTAGATGCGCTGACATATATCCATCTTCGGTGTAGATAATGAATCCTTGCGCGTCTTTGCCAAATGGAAACTGGTTGTATGATTCCTCCCCACTGAGTGGCTCGGACACAAAACTGTCCAGCCTCCACGAACCGATGATTGTTTCACGAACTTGGGAAGGGCCTAGCATTTCGCCGCGATATTGGTAGCAAGTATATATATAAAGTATTATATTGGGCTTCTGAAGTAAATAGCGGACTATGGTAGACGCAGATAAGAGACAAGCACTTGGATCCCTGGGGGCGAGTCATATAGTATCCAGTCAGGCTAATACCGGACACTTATACATACGTTAGGATCAAAAGTACAATATTTGCGGATGATCAAAATGCCAAATACAGCCAGATGCAGGATCGGCTAGTCAGACTTTTCTTCTCGGACTTCTATCCCTGCGTCTTAGCAGTAGAGCGTGCAGCACTCAGCTAGGCCGAAACTTGCGAAAAAGTCGTCTAGCGGGCTCACTTGTTAGTTTTTACCGGAGATCAATACCGTAATTATACTGTTCTTGTGATCCGGTGAGGCCATCAATGCAGAGTTGCGTCAACACCAGATCCTTCAGATACAATGCCCATGAATGCTGGTGGCGTGACGCGGAAAATGTGATCGCTAATGGTGGTGAACGTAATTCGCAGCAGGTGAATCATTATGTGGCAATACACCTTAGCCATAGGTATGAATGCACCTGTCCGTTTTTGATCAAAGGTATCTGCACTTGAGCTCAGAAGCCTTCTGATCAGTATCATATTTCCGTACGTCCTGCGTATCACTTATCTCGGTCAGAGTAGGTTCAGCCCGAAGCCCCTTGCAGAGCTACGGGTTAGCCATGTCACGAAGGAATGAGTATGTCAATGGCACCCAAGAATAATAAATTGGAGATTCCGAGGCTGCGGCCTGACGCGGCTAATCCTGAACAGCTCTGTTATGCAATAAAACGGTTGACCCATTCCACATGACAGAGATAAGCTATAGCCATGGCGCGTACGCACAGATGGTCTGATCAACATACAATAGACCTTGAGGTTTGTGTCTTAATATTAAAAAGGGAGCCGTGAGTGTCTCCGCGAGCCTGGGCAGGTGCCAGGCGTTCCAAATGAAGAGAAAAATGATTGCCATGAGAACTGGGAAATGAGTGAAGCCAACATCTATATGTGAAATCCTGCTTGTCTATCAGCACAGAGACATGAGGGTCTATCTTCGCTCAGGAAATAAAGTTTATTTTGTCATTCGCCATATAATCATATATAGGTCAATAGCCTACTATCATCCAAATCTTCATGGTCCACGTAGCAGGACTGAAGGGTATTATATCCCACATATACTATATATCCTTTTTTCGAATTCAATTCACTTTGATTCATATTCTCATACCTGATCGAGCCTGATATGTAAGGTACTAGCTATACAGGTACTTTATTAGCTGAAGCAGAAATATAGCCCTGAATACTACCAAATCTCTAGAGCTCACGGTAAATGTTTGGATCAATACGCGCTGCAATTTAGAAAGACTAATACCGTGAACGATATAATAAACTATAGCAAGAGACAGGAAAGCAGAATACATTGACAGTTACAAAATTATGATATATATAAAAAAAAACCTGTAGTCAATCAGGTATCGCGTAATTAATTATATTATCTTAATATAATTGATAACTAATTCTAGTATTTGGGAGCCTTCACTTCTTCTTGATATATTTTCGAAAGTATTCTAAACTTCTTCTACAATCTGTTAAACTAGATCAGTCAGATATCGTTATCACCATAATCAATATACATTTATGATATTGGTACTAAATACAGTAAAAGGATTAATAACAAACTTATTAATATTTAATGCTGGTAATAGACTCTAAAATGAATTTTCAGAAAATAATCCATCCATTAAGAGATCCCAGGTGGCATGCATATTCCAACATGCCCAATACTGCACCGTGCGAGTCGTCAATAGAAGTTGTCTCCAGCTAATAGTTTCAGTATCCGGACATTTACTTTGTCCATAATCGAACTCTGCTGGGTCTATTATCTACTCCACACCAAGTCGCTGCCTTTATTGGTGGGAAGGACGGGAGTATTAGCATATATCTACTTATCATGAAATTACTTACTGTAATGAACTTGTATAGAAGACCCAACAACGCTCTGTAGACGAGCCATGAACCGAGCGAAGACCTCAGCTCCATCTTGGGTGAGGTAGCAGTTATCGATTGAGAAGAAAGGGTCAACAAAGAAATCTATGCCTGCCAGACGCGGTAGGTTTTCTCTTAACCGACGACTTGCCAGCTCGTATATCTTCAAGGGGTGCTTTCGAATACCTGGCTCTTCATGGACGAATAGGACCAGCTCAAACCATATGCGACGTATTCGACCGAGCAATCGCTTATTTATACCGTTTAGGAATAGTTCCATCCTTACCGGCTCGAAGGAGTGTCGGAAATACAGCGGATATTCGGCGTACATGTAATCCAAAACTTCGTCGCGTATCTGACGACAGACGAGTGTTAAAGAATGGGCATGTGGACAAAATTGGAGACCTGAACTAGTAACTGTGATAACTCTAGGCTGTCCAGAACCGTAATCGAAGTCAAGGACTTCCCTGTAGATAACAAGCCGGATCTCAGCCGGCATACGTAGAAGGAAGGGTGTCATTGAACATTTGCTCATGCTGCGTAGTGTATTATGGGTGAATTCGCAGAGTATACTTGACGGCCAAATATGAAAGCCCTGATACGGATTGTCGCGCTATTGATAAGGTAGAATCACGTGGGACACCGATTCCTTTATTAGCGATTTCAGAATTCTGTGACGTGATCAATTTGACGATATGATAGTGATCTCCAGGGAGTTATACTGACCCTTAAAATGTCAACTGCTCTCCCTATTGTGCTGTATACTCTACCAATTAGGCCATGGACATGATGGGTTATATGAAACTGTGTGGTCTCCGCCCGTCCTTGCAGGTGGCAACAGAAATATCAAGTTGCTGTATTAGTCTCAAGTTCCGAAAGTTCTCAATTACCGCCGTCCAGGAACAGAGAAGTGTCATAATATACAAACTATCAGCTCCCGATAGCCCCCAAATCTAGCACTACTTGCCTAGGAGAAACTGTATAGCAGCTTCCTAACTTGCGTGGTATATATGATCTACATGAGCCGAAAACCCAGAGGTCAATAAGAGACCAGGTGCGGCCCCTATTAACCCTATTTAATTCTATTTATTGAAACACCCATGGAGACTATATTTCATTTAAAACTTTTTTTTTAATAAAAAAAAGCGCTGCATCCCTTCCAGCTGCAAGGAGTTCCTATGGGCTAATGTCCATAGGGATATTCTCATTGTATTCCTCTAGCCTTATGTAATGAAGCCACTACGGCAGCGCTAGGTTAGAAAATTGTAAGGGGTTCCTTGTCTCCTAAGGATCCGAATGTTATACTTATTAGAACTGTCACCCAAGGAGAACGTCCAAGAAAGTATATCAGTTCTTTTGAGTCTACGTCAATCCGGCAAGCAACGTTAAGTTATCTTATATTATAATAATAATAAGTTTTCAGATCTTAACTGCCTGTCATGGACCAGCTGTTAAGAAAATATAGAAAAAATTTTTTTTATCCTGATCTCATGATTTTAGTAGAATTTTTAATATCTTGAATATTAATAGAATATATATTTTATAAAAATTATAACACAGCTCAGTAGACTGCGGTTTATATAATTAATATAAAATTTCTAATTCTAGTAGGGAAATCTTCACAACGGGACAATAGTTAAATGATGTCTGATATATTTATAAATAGTAATATTCAATAGAATTTTTTATAGAAAATATAATAAAATAACTTATATTCTTTTAATTAATTATTCTATAGAATTAGAAATATTTAAAAATAGTAGTATTTTTTCTGAATATAATTAATATATATAAGAGAAATTTAATCAGATTAATATATATAATAGAAATTTAAATTAGATTAGTATTTTTTATAGATACTAAGCCTAATTGACTCTATTAAATATTATAAAAATTAATATTATAATAATAAATACTACTCTAATAAGCATTATATAGAATAATATATTAATATTTTCATTATAAATTCTAAGAATTTTATATATTTTATATTTTAGAAAGCTTGAATTAAATATACTTATTATTTAAAATTATTTATTATATTTAAATTATATACTTTTAAGAAGTATTTCTTTTTATAAAAATATTAATACATAGTAGTCTGTGTATATACGTATAATTAATTATAAAAAATAAAGATTATATTCTAGCCAGTAGATTACAAAAATAATAATACTATAAAAATAAAATAGAAAATTTGTAAAATAATATTATATTAATATATTTAAATCTCCGCGATTCTACTAAGCCAGCAGATAAGAGAGAGAAGTAATATTATAATTAATAATATTCTTTTTACAGAAAATATAGAGATTAGTAAATAAACTAATATTATATTTATTTATGATATTATTCTTTTTAAATATATCTTATTCTCTTACTTCTCCGTGCAGCTGGTAAGATAGAAAGAAAAAAAAATAGAAAAATAATTTTATTATTATATTTTAATCCCTGTGATTCTGTTAAATTAATAAAGAATATAATAGATAAAATGTATTTATAGTAATAAAAATCTTTCTTCTATCTCTGTTATTTCTATAAGAAACAGATAATAAAATAAAAATTAGAAAATAAATAAATATTATATTTATTTATGATATTATTTTTTTTAATTTATCTCGTTCTCTCGCCCCTTCATGTGACTGGTAAGGTAGAAAAAAAATTATAAAAAAATTTACTATTATATTTAAAAATCTGTGGTTTTTATAAAATATAAATTATAGAATAGAAAGCAGATCTTCTGTAATGTTAGAAACTTTTATATCTAGAGATTATCTATTTATTTAATATACTTTATCAGCTTATCTCTCTGTAGGATTACTAAGTTTATATTCTAATAATTATCTTTAAATCTCCGTGATTTCTACAGAAAATAAATAATAGAGTAGGTAGTAGTATTCTTATAATATTTAAAATTTTTATATTCAGAGATCTTCTATCTGCCTAATATATTTTATTAATTTATCTTTTTATAAAATTACTGAGCTTGTATTCTAATAATTAT